GTACGGAGTCCGAGCCCCAACTCATGTGCCAAAAAAAAAGGTGTTTTATTTTGAAGAGATGCATTGTGGGTGATGGAGTGTTTGAGTTGGACAAATGCTTTTGTTCCTCACTACATGCTCAGTTTTGTTTCTGCCTTTTGTCACCGTGTCAATCATTGTAATTGTTGCACATTGTAATCCTTTTGCCAAAAGTGTTTAATGGCTTTCACTGTTAACCACCACACAGACACACGCACACACAAACACAAGCACACACTTACACAGACCAGGCTTTGTTGGAGTGTCTGGACCTTTTTTTTGACAGTTGCTGTAAAGCGTATCAGTCTTCTGTGTAGATTTTCTGCATGGCCACGCCAAAGCAGGTTTGAAGAAACTGTTTGAATGAAGCCGAATTAGTCACAGCGGCGGCGACTTTTGTACGAATCCAAAAATGCCAGTGCATGTAGCAAAAACACTTCAGATCTGCTCGCGCCACCACGAATCACAGAGTGTTCATTTTCAGTTCTCAGAGTGCCGTAAAAACCCACTTGCTACTTTGATAAACATACTGTGTGAAGTAAAAGGCTTGTGTTGCACACTTGCATGCATGGAAACAGTAACCAGTTTTCTAATATTTTGTATTTAGTATCCAGCAGTATACAGTATGTATATAAAAGTAGCAGGAACTTGACTTATTAGTTTTTATCATGAGATCCATCTTTCTGGTGGATGCTTATATCCTAGACACTCATTTCAAGTGAATGCACTTTGTGTTCACAACCTCTAGTGATCAGCTAGAATGTGTAAAGGAATCCGATTGTTTCCCTTATTCCTTCTCCCATAATGCCTTGTGTGAGTTACAGTTAGATCCATAAGTATTCGGATCTTGTTTCTTTACTTCTGTACACCACCAAAGTGGATTTAAAATCAAGCAAACAAGGTGTGATTCAAGTGCAGACTTTAAGCTTTAGTTCAAGAGTTTTAACAACAGAATTGCATTATTTCAGAAACTTTTCTTACTCTTGGGGTTTGCTTTGAGCCATTATCCATTCGTGCAGAGACTATATCATCCTGCTACTTCTATCAGCAGTCCCATCATCAATAAACTACAGGGCCTCGATTCTTCTGGAAGTCAGACATGCCCACTGCACAGTAGTTTTACCAACACGTTTAGGATTAAAAAATATGAATGTAGCTTCTGTGATGTGATGATCACCCACTGGTTTCTGAAGTCATGTTTTGATAGGTTAAAAAAAAGAAGTAGTGACAAAAAAATGTGGGTCTGATTGAATCCTAAGTTTGGAGGTTCTTAGGATGTTTTATCTGCTTGATTTGTCATGAAAAACCACAGAACAGCTCATCAATCAACTGTTCTATTACTTTTGAGCCTCTGAAATGAGGAACTATGTATAAAAATGTCCTGAACAGTTAATACAGCCCTTTTAGTAAAGTCTGTACTTTAGTCACATCTTGATTATTTGATGTAGAAATTCACTGAGGTGGTGTAGAGAAACAAAATTACAAAATCTGTGTCATTGTCCAAGTGCCAGTCACCTGCCTCTAATAGGGGCATAAGAAACTTATGACATAGATTGATTGGGGACTTCAAGCAGTTTGCAGGTGTTTTGTGAAATTGAAAGGACTACACAATGATCAAGCACACCTTTCATACATGCAGAAAGGGAACAATCCAGAGATAAAGAAGGTTTAGGAGAGCATAGATGCAAGGCGGAGAGAGGGAAAATGAAGATGAGAGGTCAGGACTGCTGATGGTTCAGCACAAAAGAGCCTGAGTGAGCCTCATCTCTTAAGTCATCCTTCTCTTCTTCTCTGGTATGAATAAGCAGTTAAGACTCCCAAATCTTTAAGAAGAGCGAAGACACCTGCAGTCATGATGCACACAAGGTTCAATGGAAGTAGGAATCAAGTGAAAACATGTTGGATTTAGAGCGCTTATCATTTCTAGACAGAACGACTGCTTGCGTGCTGATCTTACAGCCTCGTCAGCTTGCTGCATGAGTCTAAATTGGAGTCGAGAAGCGGCTGCACCAGATATCACGTTCATCCTAACGACAGCATCATGTAGGCCGTACCGAATTTGACACTGACATTTTTAATCTGAGCTCGAAGTCTTGTCCACTCAAGGAATGAGCTTGTGATTCTTGTATTTTTCTGCTGTTTATTAACTGGAGACTGGAATACCTACTGCATGGTGACTCTTCTAGAAAATGCTATGGTCTTTATAACAAGTATCTTTTATCAGTATTTTATAACCTTGTTAATTTTATATATCCACTCCCAACTACCGTGTTTACTGATAGCTAGGTATCAGAGAGCCGTGCTGTATGTTCTGTACTGTGTGCTTGTCTGTGTCTTCTTTTTCAGCGTGAGCTTTACTTTTTGTTCTGTTTTTTTTAACACTTGTTCGTTTTAATTTGGTTCTCGGTTACACTGTGGTTATTTTATAGCTAAGATCTGAAATTATTATTTTTTCTTTTGTATTTAATGTCAACTTGTGGCATGACTTTGAAATAAAACGGGAAAACTTATTCTGGGTCTGTCATAATTTTTGCAATTTTTGCAAATTTAACTCAAAGGTGAGTACTTCTTCTTTTTTCTTTTTTGTTTACAGCATTTAAAAATTCAGTTTAGTACAACAAATAGACACGGGCAGTGTTGGGGAGTAACGGAATACATGTACCGGCGTTACGTATTTACACTTACCATTTAAAAAGGTGGTATTCAGAATACAGTTACGTTGTTGAAACTGATAGATTATACAGCGGTCTTTTCCTGTTTCATATGGTAGGCTATGCCCTGTCTATTTTTGGTAATTTCACGCTGGTCTAAACCCAAACGAAACACGCATTTAGAGGCTAATAATGCCTGTGTCTCAATCTCGCAGCCCATGTCACCCCTACTTCACGCATAATGACGTGAAGAAATATTTTTTTTAAATGATTATTCAACAAATGACCTACTAGAAAGGGGAGACGGAAGAATGTAAATATAATAATAACCACTGCAGCCAAAAAGAGTGCCTGACGAGCCCAGTTGTAAGTAAGACTCGACTGTACACTGTGTTCGTGTTTTCCTCCGAAACAATAAGCAGCCTTTGTCTCTCGCTAGCAAAGTTGACCCAGACAAAGTAAAGCTAGTTTTCGGCTACAAACCCAACACCGAATCGTATTAGCCAGAGGTCCCTTTACCACAGCAATAGTGCATTCATGTAGTTGTAAAAAGCATGATAAAATATTAAGCAATCCAAAGTATTCACAATATGTTACTCTCATTGAGTAACGTAACGGAATACAATTGTAATTTTGTAAATTTTATAGATTTTCCGAATGATAAAGACCTCCATCACATTACACCAATTTAATTAGAAAAAAGAGGCAGATAGGAAGCCACTATAAAAACAAAACCTGCTCTGGAGAATAAAATACGAAAAAGATTACAGCCTTAAGTAAAGAAAATCTGTTGTAAAGAACGTGTGAATGCATGGGGGGATCGATGCTTGCACAAACAGAGCTGCCTTTTCATGAAAAAAGAGCAATGTCTATACTAAAAAGACCAAACTAAAGCATCGATCCTGTTCCTCTAATATCGATCCAACACAATACTGACACTGATATCTACACTACTGATACAGTGGATTATTCAGTCCTTTGAACACTGAGTCATAGTTTCTTAGTTTAGGGTCCTTTCAGACACTCTGTATCAGCCGTTGATGATTCCTGAAATCATCACACAGCAGAAGTTTTGCTGAAATATATTTAAACTATTAAAATAAATCTAAATAAACGGTGAAGTTGTGACACATGATCATTTAAGGAGGTCTCTCTGCTAAGAAACACAAAAGTGGCCTGATATCAGCTCGGCGCACTCTGACACACTCAGGCAAACGGGGAAGAAGACAAGAAAACTTGGACCTATGTTATGAATAATTAATAACAAAATCTGTGAATAATCAATTGAACTTCACTGTGTTATATAAAAGTATAGGCTGAGCTCTCACCCGGTGCCTGATTTTTGTTCTCCATGACAGAAATTAAAAACTGAGTTTTCAGAACAGGAAATTTAAAAAGCCAGATATTTTCAGATTAAAATATGATGGAATCCCTTCATACAGTTACGTGTAACAATGTTACTCTATGTATCAGGGATGTCAAATTCATGTTACATCGTGGGCCACATACGGCCCACTTTGACCTTAAGGTGGGCGGACTAGTGAAACTCCACTTTATGCCAGTGTGCAGAAATTTAACTAAACATTTAATCCTTGAAATATCTTAATATGAGTGAATTAAGTACAATTTCAACAGTGTGCCTCTGCTACATGATGTGTAAAATGCCCACACTGGCCTGTATTTATAATCTTTTTTTTTCTTTTTTTCCTATGGTAGAAATTACCTATTTAGCATTTTCTGTCATTTAATTGTTTATCCATCATGTACCTGTTTGGTGATGAAAATTCTGTAAATCTTAAGAAAATACAGTTCAAAGTGCAAAATCCATGTACTTCATATTTTCCAAAGCCTTCCAGTGGGCCAGATCGGAGTTTTTGCTGAGCTGATTCTGGCCCTGGACTTTGTTTGACACCCCTGCCATATATAATATATTTATTAAGAGCTGAATTAAAGCAGTGTTATTTGCATGCATGCATCTGTCATGGAGCACTGAGATTCATTACAAACCTGAAAGACCTCACCCACCACTGTGTGTTGCACCCTCGGGTTAGATGAATGGGTCTAAACAGTATACAAAGGGACACAGGGGAGGTTCTGATCATAAACAAGACACAAAAAGGCAGATAATCTACACAATTTAAAACCTGCGCATCAGACGATCTGCATTCCCTTTAAAATTCATTCCAGAACCAGAACTTGGAAATCATGACCTGGTTCAACTCCCTCTTCACCTCCTTCCCCCAGCTGATCCCTGTACAGTATGTGCCACCAACAGGCTCCACCCTCCCAGCTAATCAGGATCAGCAGCCATGAATGAGACGCAGCAAGAGAGTCTCGAGAGCCCTGTTACTGTCCCAGACATCAGACTGTGAGAGGGCTGCAAGCCACCTGCAGGAGGCTGCGACCACAACGCAACCAGAAGAGCAGAAGTCTGTTGGAAAGATCTAAGAAAACGACAGGAGCAGAGAAAACTACTTAATTCTCCAGTTTCTTCTCCAGCCCTTCTTCAGCCATCCTGTTAACTTTGGGCAGAAGACAACAGAGGATAGAAGAGAAGAATAGTGGATCTTATGAATTGTGCTGAGAGGTAAGTGGGGCAGACGAACATGGGTCGAGGCCCGAGGGCTTATTAGGCCAGAGGGCCGCTGCTCTGCTATAGCTTTAGACCAAAGCCTCTTATTGCTCACTTTGTCCTGTGCCAGCACTTAAAGCAGCCATTGTGTTTCCCTCAAAATAAATAGATCTGGCTGCACTGTGTATTTATTCCATGAAGTCTGGATGGTTTCTTCTAAATTAGATTAGAGATCACCTCTTGTCACATAGGAACGTTTTTAAGTGTCTCTTTGAGAGCAAAAACCAATGAAAGCGGCACAGAGGAACATCATTCATGCATTACAGCAGGTTAGAGAGGAGCAGTGAATACAAACGTCAAACGCTGAGAGCTTTTCAAACTCAATTATGGCAGCAGGAGGTTCTCCCATTGAAGAAGCTGAAACTAGAGAATGGCATTTTTAATTTGATAATCCCCAAACTTATTAATTGATTGTTTCAGCTCTTTACTCAAGGTGCTCCTTTTCTAGCACATTTTGGATGGTTTTCAACCACAAGTGTAGATATTCTGAGTTGGGGGGGATTTAACAGCTGTTTCAGAGCTCAATAATTTAATTTTTTTGCAAAATCAAGATGGGATACGTGAGGAAAACACCAAGAAGTTGCAAAGTTGAACCAGCGAGTCTGCCTGTGATCCAAGAGAGCAAACATATCTAACACTATTATATGAAAAAAAATAATTTTTTATTAGCAAACCAAAGGGTTGGGCCTTTACAACTTCATTGTAAAGAGTTTAAATAGCTTTAGATTTAGGTCAGTTTAAATATGAAGTTAGAAGACCAGCGGCAGACGGGTGACCTCTCTAGGGTGAACCGTACCTGTCACCCTGTGACCCAACGGTGGGTTGGATTGGGCCATGCTTGAATGCATTACCACATAAATCATTTGTGCACACATACAACACACATGAGCCTTCTCAGAGATTGCAGTCTTTAGAGAACTATATGATTGCGGTTTGTCAAATTGGCACCAATGTACACAGTTTAATCAATTTTATTGGCTCACCATATGTTTGACATATAAAAGGTAGATCCTAGAAGTAGGGAAACAGCTGAGTAAAAAGTACCTTTAGATGTTGCTGACGTGCCCCGTTTGAGTATTTTTATTGACTTTTGAGGTTCTCCTATGTTGTGTTTTGCAGACACTGAAGCACTTGACCTCATGGAAATGAGTCTCCTGAACTCTCTTGATCAATGATGAACGTTGCGCGCCCCTGTGCGCCGGAGCCTGTGAATCCCTGCCATGTGAGTCACAGCGGACGCATGTGCTGTGCAAACACTTGTTCGAATAGCATTAGAGGCCACACACACAGATTAGCAGCCGGGGACTTAAAGATTTCTCTCAGCCGTTACATGAAAATCTCAGACCAGAGTGACTCTGGGTCTCGTAAGAAGAAGAGGTTGAAGAAATAGTTGTTAGGCAGAAAAACAGCAGGAAAGTTAATATGTTATGTGCAATTTCTATTAGTAAACTTTTTTAGATTTTGGCAAGTGAAAAAAAAGAGAAAAAATTGCCCAGTGACAGCTGATTATAAGACTAAGACACAAACAACACCTGGCAGGTGCTTAATTATTCAATCAAGATCTGTCAGCCTTTTGTGGCCTATCAGCCGGTTTGTAGCCTCATTAACTACGACGCTAATGTTGGTTTTCTATTCAGTGCCCTGATTTCATGCAGATTAGAATATCTCAACATTGGCATTGAATTTTTAAGCGTTTTCCTCTGAAGCCACAAACATGAGCTTCGTGTTTTTAGTTTTAGTTAAATATCCTAGCATCTATCAGCAAGGCTGTGGGAAGGTGGGATGCCGCAGTACTCCCTATCACAAAAGGCAGACATCACAGGACGGTCAAACGCTCCCAAATATAGACAACAAAACTTATAAACAAAAAAACCCACATCTTTATTGGGGCAAGAGTCCAAAACTCCAGACTGCAGATGAGGGGAAAACTCACCGGCAGATAAAAAGCTCAGACAGTCAGTGTTACAGAATAAGAACACAAGCAGTTTGAGGGTTTAATTATACAAAAGGGAAGATGGGAAACATCAGGGGAACACAGCTGAAGGTAATCATGGAAGAGAAGTCGAGGGACTATCAAAAAGAAAAGTCAAGAACAAACTCGGCAGAAAATGTATAATAATAAACAAAAGAACAGATAAGAGCATTTACATTTTTTTATACACTATTGCTGATGTCATTTATTTAAGAAGAAGTGATTTTGTTTTTCACCAGCATCATGGTGAAATGATGTTATCCAGTAGTAACCAGTAGTTAAAAATGGTGCATTTTTTTAAAATGAGCGATCAGCGGAGATCTATCACAACCCATAAGAGTAATACAAAAACATGATTTTTTATTTTTTTAGCACATTAAACTCTTAGAATTGTCACACGATGCATGATGGACACACCTTTCCCCAATGATTGTTATACGCTATGCAACTTCGGCTTTTGATCTGGTAAAATATATCAACAATGAGGGTTGTTATGTTTTATTTTGTTTGTTTCTTAAGAGGCTGTAGTTTCAAGACTGGCCTACTTTTTCATGGTTTCATGATCAATTTTCTCACCTGTTTATGAGCCTAATGTTTGCAGGTTGAACAGTTTGCAGACAAAGTTAGGGAAGGACTGCTGAGATGGTTTGGACATGTACAGAGTTGGGAGAGTGGATGTGTCGGTCAAAGGATGGATTTATGGATGTAGTGAAGGAGCACATGCAGAGGGTTTGTGTGAGGCAGGGGTGAGGTGGAGGCAGATGATCTGCTGTGGTGACCCCAACAGGGAGCAAATGAAAGAAGAAGAATTTAATGATACGGATTTAAGTGGTGTTGTAAAATTTCTTGTACTCTTGTGAACAAAATCTGTTGAACTACTAAAGTATTTCATATACCTGGCTGACCTCTAAGCTCCACAGCACTTTTATCTTCTCTTTTATTTCTCCCTATAAATGATTTAGGTTCTACTTTAGGAACTTTTTGTACTTATTTTTTCCCTCCTATTTTCAGTGTTACCCCAATATATCAGTATTATGTCTCGCTCATAAATATGTTCAGGTTCTGGTGAATTGAGACAACTTTTGCGCTGTTTCTGCACAGAAATTCAAAGTCAGGCAGTTTCCTTACATGATGTTGCTTATCCTTTGCTGCTATCAGAATAAATGGGGATTACCTCCAACAGATCACATTGTGTCACAGCATCCTCTTCATAAGCAGCTCAATGCAAAAGCATGTCAGTTACATAGGTTACTGTGATAATGGTTTGGATCCTTTATTATATTATTATTACTTTTTTATTAAACAAGGCAGTGTTAGTAAGCAGGCAAAAAATATTGAATTATATATTGCTTTTTACACCCAGGAATTGCAAAGTACATTTAAACAAAGCAGCATTTTAAAAAGAAAACAGGACATAAAAGTTCACAAAATTTGACATACAAGTCTTTTGGAGTAAAGTTACAATAGAACACAGAAAATAAAATTGGTGGTTAATATTTGTGCAAGAGTTGAAAACCTGAAAAGTAAATGTCATAAAAGCAGGACTGCTGCAAACACTTGATTAAATTGTCAGAGTAAACAGGGATGTCTTTCGCTGCCTTTTCACAGATCAACCTCAGAGGTTTTAGAAACGTAAGCGGAAAACTAAACTAAAAACTAAAACTGAGTGAGGAAAATATTTTAGCGAACTGGAATATTAGTAAAAACATAAACAGTGTGTGTACTTACAAAATTTAAATAACATAAAAATACACAAGAAATTTATTTGGTTTCTTTATTTTTTTGTCAACATATGTCAACAGAAATCAGCCTGATAATGCTTTTAGTGTATAAGTAGCTTTAAATTTTGTATAACTTCAGGTATTTCACAGGAAAGGAAACAAATTAATCTGGGAGTAATTTAAGTACTCTTTCATTTTGAGGTAATTTTGCAGTAAAACAAACAATTTCTTCATCTTACATTGTAAATACACTGCATTTTTCAGGACAGTTGAATAATAGAACATCCGTCACGCACAATAACATAATGAATACTAAATAAAGATGTAAAAAAAAAAAAGGGGGAAATAGTGTTTGTTCTTCTGCAAAAATAACATGAAATTGCATGTGCATTACTTAAAACAACTTGCACAGTACTTACATTTACATAACAGTCTAGTAAGTTCCTTTTTCCTGTAAAAACTTCACTAAGGACCCCTTTATTCTAGTTTGCCTACTTTTCAGGAGCTATAATCACATGTAACTTCAAATAAAATGCATTGAAATTCGTCTGATTACAGTGGGATTACGCCCTTAGTTGCTGGCTGTATTATAAAGTGAGACTAATTTTTACAATGGAAGAGTCACCTTCTCCATGACATTACATCATAGTTTTCCCAAATGTACCTTTGCATTACTTACTGTACCTTATTTATTTTCTTTTTATTGTTTAATTGTATTTATATCTTTACTAAGTCCCGTTCCTGTTTTTTATTACATTTTTTCTCTTTCACTCTTAAAAAAGAGAGAAAAGGTGTTTGAATAAATACTTATAATTAAAATAAAATGTAAATAAAAACTACTGGAAAAATGTGAGGCCACGATGACTCCAGTCCACACTGTAAAGTCAGGTGGAGAGCTAAGTGTATGTGTTTGGGACAGTTGCCAGATTGGCACCCTGTGGTTCTGGATTAGAAGCTCTGTCTTGGTCTAAGCTGAACATATTGTGACTGGTAATTACTTGTATATCAACTCTATTGCCCTTCAGTAGCTTCACTTCACCACATGAAGCTTATTTTTTATGTGCATATAATCAGACTTTAATACAGTTTTCTTTGCAGTCTAAATAAATGTTAATAGATTTATTAGTGCTCCAATGGGTATTTAGTAGATTTAGCCCCTCCCCCGTGACATGGTTTATCTTCATCACTCATATCCTCTGGGTCATTGTGTTTCTTCTCTGGCCACACAGGCTATTTATATTACTAACGTGTTTGTTTCTCCTCAGAATGAATTAGCAGAGAAGCAGTCATCTTAGTTTTATTTCTCCATTCGCCCACCTCATTCATCCTGCCTTTATTAATTCAAACCAATCTATTTGTTTTCTAACAGCTCCAAACCTTGCCTTGTTTAATTACCTTGTGTCACTCATACTCTAGTAGTTTTTCTGTGTGTGCTATAGTCAGTACAAAATACAAACCTTTAAAGACTAACAATTCCTCTTCTATAGTTCCTTAAACAAAAAGGCCACTATAAACACGTATCCCACTATATGTAACAGCCACATCACCTTTAATATAAATGAGTACAAAAACAGTAAGACAGCCTCATGTGGAAGGAAAATCATAGCTGCAACAACTATGCCTCGTACTTAAGCGATGGGATTAGCCCCAGGAATCCCAGTAAGCCTTTAACAGCCCCTATCAGACCCTTTAAACTCTGCACCCGCCCCCTGTTTCCTTCACTGGTTGAACCACAGGACTGTGTGTCTCGGCTCTGAAAGGACTGATGGTGATCAGACTTTTTGTTCACCTCCTCATATTAGATCTCAGACCTCTTACGGCTCCTAAAACCCATCACGAACTATAGCACGTCTCTGATCTAGTTTATTTAAGTGTGCAATACGAAATGTGTCTGGTGTACACAGTCTCTGCAACTTTTGTAGTGATTTTATGGCACACAGCTCTACCACAAATGCAGTCCATTGCCCTTTGAGATCAGTGGAGCTTTTTGAAGCTATAGACTGACATGTTTTCATTAGGAATGGGTGGAGGCTCAAACAAAGCTAAAACAGAGTCTACAATTCAACATGAATCTAAAAGAATGATAATAATGATAATACTGCTCTGTATTGGTGGGAGTTAGCCAAAAATGTTCACCATAACAGCTTTGTAGGTGATAGGAAGCCTAATGTTTGTGTCAGGACAGCTTAGATTTGCTCCTAAATGCTCCAAAAATAAATGAACGCAGTCATAACTTCAATCTTACGCACCTGCAAAAATATTGTAGATGGTTTGTAATAAATTGGGGTTGATGATGGCAGCACAGGCTGACAACAATATAAACTTAGATATCTTTTGTGTACATTGCTAATGCTGACATACTCTCGTGTTGGCAACTGTTAGTCTTCAAAAATCATCCATGTTTCAGCTCGTTTCAGACTGGGGGAAGCAGCAAATCAAAGGAAAGCTGGCTTAAAATGAGAGGAAGTGCCTATTTTGAGTAGAGTTAATAGTATAGAGGTGGAAAAAAGCATAATATATCATAATGAATTAAAAGTAGACGTTGTTTTTTCTTGGTCTCAACCCCACGTGGCAAAGAACATGAAAAACTTGTGTATCCTGTTTTTTTCCCCCCTCATCTGTTCTCTCATCTCGTTATCCAAAAAAACCTGTTGAACAGTCTTTGTTTTGGTGACTTTCCCTCAAACTGTGTGTATAAAAATGTGTAATTCATACATACGAAGTAGATGCAGTCTGTTGTCTCAAAGTTAATGTGATGTCTGTGACTGGTTTCATTTTAGAGCCCTCATATGGTGACTTCTGATGACCTGGAATCAACACGAGGCTGAACCATGGTCATTCTGCAACAGGTGGGTCCTGTACCAAATGGTTCTGAATGTCTTCCAACCTCTTTGTCCTGTCCGTGTATTAAAAGTAAGTTCTTAAGTTCGTTTCTGTACAAACGTTCTGTGGGAATTATGGATGGACATTAATGTAAAAAGTCAGGTAATATTTTTTCCTTTGCTGATATTTATTATTTTTAAACTTAGGTGGAGTTTCTGTTGGTGTCCATGTTGTAATGGGACCTGGTTAGACATTGTCATCAGCAGTTTATTTGTTGTAGCAGAGAGGCACAGATTTTACTTTGAAGGAAATGAGTCTCAGTTTCTGGTTTGCATCATACTTTTTGCAGTTTCCCTACCTCTCTGCGAGTATTTGGAGAGTATTTGCACCCAAGTTGATAACAAAAAATATATTGGAGAACAAAGCAATTACAAGGAACTTTTCAATGCATTACTCGCCAAAAGATTTTTACGTAGCGACCAGTGGACCAGTGTTTTTGCCAGTGGAGAAATTTTTTTTTGCATGGATCCATAAGTCAAAAGTTTGGGTTACTATCTCAAAATTTTGAGAAAATAATTTGAAATTTCAAGTTATTTCATATCAGATGCTTTAATTGTCTGAGGTCTAAGTCTTCTTAGATGCTGACTCTACCATAATATTATTTTTTAGAGAAAGGCTAAACAGACTAGTGTTTTTAATTCTTTTTGTTTGTCATTGATTTTATTTTTTGTCTAATCGCAGAGACTCAGGAGAAGTTATTTTTGCTGAGGGTTAGAGTTGAGGTTAGGGTGATCACGCTTCAGTGCATTTGTATTATGATGGTTTCTTTTGATTTTCCACTGAGGTACAGAGCTTTCCCTAATGACTTAAGCCTCTGCCATAACCACAAACTTGATACACAGTATTCTGTGTTTGATTATTTAAGAAGGGAAAATTAAACTCAATTTTGTAAGGGCTCAGAAGTCAGTAGGTGAATATCTGAGCACGGCAGCACTTTTTTACTGCCTGTCTGAAGGATCATTTGGGATTTATTGAAGGAGGGCGGAAGGTTACTGAACTCGTTCATTTTCTTCTTCCATATTATTATTATGAGAGGCCATAATCGTTACATCAACCTTGCCAGTGCCTCTGTTCATAAAAGATCGGCTTAAAATCCAGATTGTGGCTCTACTACTTTAACACAAAAAGCATAGTTTAGGTCTCTTTAGCATCAACTCATGCAAGTAGGTCAGTTTAACCTGACATTTTAGTGTCTTATGGGAATGTTTGTTTGTTATGGTGGGCCAGCCAGCAGGTTTAATGATTTTAAATTAAATTAAAATGTAAAAAGAAACAACCGAAAATCAAATTGTGAGCAAGAATGATTTATTCAGCATGAGCTCCACAGTCCTGACACACTAAATATAGAAAAAGCTGGGCAGTTACCTCATATCAGGCCATCAATAGTTTCCCTTTCAATAACTAGATGCCAGTGCCTTTCTCCCCCGAGAGTCCTGCAGGGCACGACTCAGACACTCCTGCACCGTTTCAATCTCAGCTCAGAGCCACGGCTATGAATCTCATTCGAGTGGGAGACATCTGGATGTTGTTAAATGGAAGCAAAAATAGCATCTTTAAGGTCACAGTCTAGACTGTGGGGATGAACGCTGAGCATCGTGCTGCAGTGTTATGATGAGGTTTATACCAGCTCCCCTTCTGATTTACATCTAAATGACACCTCGTGTTTGTCATTCATTGGCAAAACACAAAATGACCTCTGTGCTGACACGTCTAAGATGATAAATGCACTTTTTTAGGGTCGGCTGTGTTCATCTCCAGGGGGCTTGCTTTTCATAGTATGTCTAATGGCACAGTCAGTGCCATGATTGGTTGACTGTTTTGTAGATTTTTAATACCTCCTGTAGCAACCTGCTCAGTCATGGTTTTTGCTAAGTGTTGGTTCCACCTCAGGAAAATTAAGCCTTATTTGTTGTTACGTAGGGTTACCTAAGTCTCAGTGTTACATCATGGCCTTCCTGGTGGATGTGGTCAAGTTTAAATCCTTTTTTCAGGCTAAATCCTCAAAAATGTAACTAGTTGGCAGCTGAAAAACTGGGTAACTGGGTGTGTGGTGCAACTGATATTTCCTGGTTATCCAACATGTATATTCAAATAGTTGAATGCAGACAAGGAGACCATAACAAATGTCATGTACAGCTAAGGCACATGCAGCTCATCAGGTTTTGCAGCTGTTACGGGGAAAACCTGATGTTTTCTGCTCAAATTTCAAAATAACATCTAGGAATAAAAAGAGTTAAAGTATAAGTATGAGATAAGAAATTATATGATTACAAACAGTTGACATCTTTGGTTACAGATTTTTTTTTAACAAGTGCTCTGAACTTCCCCAGGGAGATAAAAAAAATCATTCAGCTTCAGTTTACTCTGATATTATGATGTTATTCTATTACTTCCTGCAGTCTTTAACTAAAGTTTTGTAATCCAGGGGGACTATGTGTGGCTGGATCTTAAAACGGGCCGGGAGTTTGACGTCCCCGTGGGAGCCGTGGTCAAACTGTGCGACTCTGGACAGATCCAGGTTCTGGATGATGAAGGCCGGGTAAGTTTGCAGAAAAGCAGGAAGGACCTGAAAGCAGTACTCCAAGGTAGACTACATAAACAAGAGAAACTAGAATTTAGGTTTTTCAAATATGAAAACAAGGGAGACTGCGTAGATACTGTGATAAGGACTGAAAGTGGACTGACGCTATATACACACACAGAGCGAGGACTTGATGACAGGAACTAAAGGCCAAAAAGGCCAAAAACAGAGGAAAAAAATCTGAAATTTATAAACTAAGAGCTCTAAACGCACAAGCTTAGATTCTAAATAAATCACGAATAGTTAACAATAGACCTGAATTCAGAGTCCAAAACTCAGACTGTGTTTTGCTGTTGCACACTTGTATTGTATTAGACCATTAAACCTAATCTGCGTCCAATAATTTGTAATGCTTTTCATGATCATGGGTTTTAAATGGTTTGAACTTTTTTGAGTATTTGCTTCATTCTTAGGTCACTTATTACTTTCGTTTTTCTTCATGTGTTCCCTTAGTATTTTGAGCCCTTGTTTCTTAGTTCGAGCTTCTGTTTGTATTAGAGTTTGATCCATCAGTTTCTCGCTTCATGTTCAGTGTTTCTACGGTATTTAGTTTGTGTTTTACTTAGTCTCCCATGCATTGTCTCTAGTTTCTGTCATTTAACTTAATTGTGTTCAGTTGTGTTTAGTTCCCCTTCTGTTTCCACTTACCTCCTTGTGTCATGTGTATTTTTAGCCTCAGTTTCCCTGTGTTCTTTGTTACGTTGTACTGTGTTCTGATCTCTTGTTTCTAGTGTGTTCCCGATATGGTTTCCTTTGGCTTTTGAACTTTGTTTTGTCTTTTTTAAAGTTTTTTTTGTTTTGTTTTTTGTTTTTCATTCCCCGTCTAAACACCACTGTACCCTCAATCTGTTTATATGACAGGTACCGTAGAGATTTTTTTGTCCTTTTAAAATGACACAAAACTGCCAATTAATTCTTTCCGTCAAAGAAGGGTGAGTCAGTGTGACTTCATGTGGCTTTTGAGGCCTTTGTTCCTCTAATCTGCTTCCTCATTCCTCACCAATGCAGGAGCACTGGATTTCCCCTCAAAATGCCACCAACATCAAACCCATGCACCCAACCTCCATACATGGGGTGGAGGACATGATCCGTCTGGGTGACCTCAATGAAGCTGGCATCCTCCGTAACCTGCTAATCCGCTATAATGAATGCGTCATCTACGTAAGTTTCCCTTTGTGGCACCAACGCAGCTGCATTTACGATCGCCTGAGGTGCAATTAGTTTCTGTAACTTCCTGGCCTTTTACTCGCGTGTTCAGCAAAGCAGTAACCACTGGCTTTGGCCCAGTTAAGGTCTTATTCAGGTTAATCTGTTTACTTGTATCTTAAGCGCCCAGCAACAGCAGCATTTACTTGTTGCTATAAATAAAACAGAACGTCCCTTCCTTGCTGTTTGACCGGAGGTTCACCGATAGAAACAGGCATTTGTACTTGTAAAACACCCAATCTTAGAAATGCTAGTAAGTCAAAGTTAAGACCACTAAATAGGAATAATAGAGACATTATTTTTATAATCATCTCATATATTTTGGAGAGCATAAAATTTTGTTTTATACCCTGTCAGTAGTGTTTGATTCATATATTTTGTCCCTGAGTTTTTGATCTATCTCATGTTTAAAACATCGACTTTCGTCTGTCTTTGGGTGTCTGCAGACGTATACAGGCTCAATACTGGTAGCAGTCAACCCTTACCAGCTGCTGCCCATCTATACTCCAGACCAGATCCGCCTCTACACCAATAAGAAGATCGGCGAGATGCCGCCGCACATATTCGCCATCGCAGACAACTGTTACTTCAACATGCAGCGGAACAACAAGGACCAGTGCTGCATCATCAGGTTTGTGCTTGATCATTTCATAAGAACTCAAAGTGATGGACGTGCGCCATTTCTAAACAGGAAAAACTCTGCAGTTAATCTGCAAGCCTCTGTTGGTTAAAAAGGCTGGTCATAGTTAGTATCCTTTGTGTGCTGCTGCTGTTTGAATAGTTTATTTGTAATGAAATCATCATGTTTATTGCATGACTGTGTCACTGTTTTCTTTATGAGGCAGCGGTGAGTCTGGAGCTGGGAAGACTGAGAGCACAAAGCTGATTCTGCAGTTCCTCGCTGCCATCAGCGGGCAGCACTCCTGGATAGAGCAGCAAGTCCTAGAAGCCACGCCTATCCTCGAAGGTAAGCATTAAACTCCAAAAAAGATCACCTTCAGTCCACGAATGGACAGTGAACATGGAAGAAAGTGTCATGGGTCACCTTCATCGTCTGGTTTGTCAATTTCTTCAGCTTTCGGCAATGCCAAGACAATTCGAAATGACAACTCCAGTCGCTTTGGGAAGTACATAGATATCCACTTCAACAAGCGAGGGGCCATTGAAGGAGCCAAAATAGAGCAGTACCTGCTGGAGAAGTCCCGCGTGTGTCGACAGGTGAGAAACCAGATCCAGATTAAATATGTTAAATCTTTCACAACTCCAACCACAATTAGTCAACATTTGTAGACAGATGGATGGTAAGCAATGATCTAGACCTGAGAATGCAGTTTGGGATGGGGCTGAGTGAAGATTGATGGCTGCTCCTGGGTAGAGGTTATCTGACAGCGAGTCTAGCAGTTGTGATCCTGCTTCTAAATCTTAGATAAATACAGTTTAATATTTTTTTACAAAATCAAAAGTCTGACATCAATGACAGACATACAGTCTCAAGTTTATATGATGACTGTTTTTACTACTAAAATAAATGACACATTAGCCAAATAATAAACAAATAGAGAAGATATTGTGCACATATTTGCAATAAATATTGAAGAATTAAATTATTAATTTAACTAAAACTGCAAGACGTTGGATGGTGATTTTGTTTGTTTGGGTTTGTGATTATTTTCAATTTATTTAAATTCAGTTTTATTAATATAGCTCCAAAGCACAGCAACCGTTGCCTAAGTTGTTGTAAGGTAGTAAGATAAAGACCCTACGATAGTAGAAAGAAAACACAAACAATCAGACAATCAGAAAAACTCCCTTTTAACAGGAGGGAGTCTCACCTGTCTTAATGTTTTACTAGTTTGTCATTTATTATTTGTTTATACAGCAGCTGCCTTCACTTTGGTGCTCACAGGAGTTGTTATATTTAATGGTAAATGGCCTGTATTTGTATAGCGCTTTTACTAGTCCTGCCAAAGCGCTTTACACACCCAATCATCCACCCATTCACACACACATTCACACACTGGTGGAGGCAAGCTACAATCAAACTCTTCACAGCTGAATCAAAGTGTGTAATTAGTCATTTATTTATCATTAATTAAACAGGGGCAGATGAACTATTCAGTCTCCCTGCATATGTGGACATATTACATACAAAAAAAATAAATACTGGTCCAAGATTAATAATATATACTCTTTATGATACGTAAACAGTATCACGTAGATGCTGCTTACATGTGCATAGCATATTGTGTGTCGGACATACAGGGTTTGCTTCTTTCTTGCTCCTGCAGGCTCCAGATGAGAGAAACTACCATATTTTCTACTGCATGTTGAAGGGCATGGCTCCTGAAATGAAGTCAAAGCTGGGCCTGGGCCTTGCCACAGACTACTCCTACCTCACTATGGTGAGTCTCGCCAGTTAATTACTCATTTTTAGTGATAAAAATGAGTAATTAAGAAATCGATGTACCCATCATACAGCTGAGTTTAGCACTTTGAACATCACTGTGTTGTTTGTTTATAACAGGGTGGACTACTGCAGTGCTCTGCTATCTGCTCTATTAAAAATGTTTTTAATTAACCTCAATATATTTCAAACCTCTACAGTCTGAGTGTTTACTGGGCCTGGAAGGAGAGAACACACTGGTGCCTTTCAGCTTACATGTTGCTTTTAAAATCACTCTCTTGTCTTTAAAGCTCTTTATGTTCTTGCTCCAGTATGTAGTGCACCCTCTCCGGTCCTCCACAACCAAAGGATTAACAAAGTGTTATTTTAGTAAAAGAAAAAATTACCAATCATAATAAAGTATGTCTCAATTAATGCATGAGGTTACAATAAAAACAGTGAGTGGAAAAAGACTGTGCCCTTGTGTCCTGATGGTAAAATGAAGCTAAAGTACAGAAACATAAATGGTGCAGTAAATGTTGTGCACAAAGCTTCAGGGATCATAAGTAATATAATAATAATGTAAAGTTAATTTACCGTTTCCGATAAAGAGCAGCACGTAGCTGCTTCCCAGAGCATTTCACTCGGAGCTGTCAGGTGAAACCCATTAAGCCACATTGCAGTTACCTGGAGCCGCTGGCCTGGTTCTGCTCATAAACAGCAGACCTGAAGTTGGATTTCTTTTATATCACAGGGTAGCTGCACAAAGTGTGACGGTCGTAACGACCTGAGTGATTATTCCAGCATCCTGTCAGCCATGAAGGTTCTCATGTTCACCGAGACAGAAACCTGGGAGATTTCCAAGCTTCTGGCTGCCATCCTGCATATGGGAAACCTGCGATTCGAGGGTGCGTGAATACACAAATCTGAAGCATCAATCAGAAAATTTGCAAACTTTACAAACCTGTGAAGAAAACGATGTTCTGTCTTGCTTCCCTCAGCTCGTACCTATGATAATTTAGACGCCTGTGTGGTTGTGAGATCTCCTGACTTGGTGACCGCTGCGTCGCTTATGGAGGTCTGTAACTGTTCTCACACACATGATTGACACACAACCATTTTACTGTTCTTCCTTAGAAAAGAGTGGCTTTAAATCTCTTTCAAATTGATATCTGGCAGTTTTTTTGGTGATGCTTTTGTTGGTCGTTGTGAACCGTAGGTGGAGCCTAAAGATGTGATGGTGTGTTTGACGACACGAACCCTCATCACACGTGGTGAAAGTGTTGTCACCCCTCTAAGTGTGGAGCAAGGCCTGGATGTCAGGGACGCCTTTGTTAAGGTACCGATTTTGTCCTGTTTTAGAGGTAATACACGTAATCACCAAGTCTTTCACAGATCATGTTGTGATTGTCCTCCAGACAATCCAACTTCTTCTTTCTACGAGTCTGTCTTTCTGCAGACACACTCTACAGCTATAGCTGGTAACAGAGTCCTTGACTTACTCTCCAGGAGATCTGCTGTGAGCTAAAGAGCCAATTTAGCCATTACCTGCAAGTTGGAGAGCTCGTTCATGTACAACTATGCAAGACTCACTTATTCTGCAGAGCAGGCGAGAATTTAAGACCCTAGATAATATTACAAGGCATGGACATTTGTTGTCACTGTCATGATGGTTTTATGGAGCTTGGTTAGGAGAGCCTGCACAGGTGCGATACACACACAGACCTGGAAGGTGCTGGCTTACCTTAAAATGTGTCCCTCCACTTACCCCCCTATGCTGGTGGATGGGACACTGCTTGTTATTTCTACACCTTTGGTGGTAATTGTGTAACATTTTCCCATTCCTAATAACTATGAAGTATTTATGTTGGAGTGAAGTCTGGGAAAGGGTCTGTGGGAAAATATTTTTGGGAGTCTCCGAACCTTAATGACGCTAATGACGTTGCCGTACAACGAAGACAATGATGGTGATGAAGAAGCACACTTAGGAGGCGGTGAGCGAGTCTGCTTCAGCAAAGTTCATGAATTCTGTCATCCAGGGGATCTACGGGAGGTTGTTTATCTGGATAGTGGATAAGATTAATGCTGCCATATACCGACCTCCTTCCTGCGAGAGTACCATCATCCGAAGATCCATCGGTTTGCTGGACATCTTTGGCTTTGAGAACTTTATCGTCAACAGGTGAGAAGTTGTGTAAAAGAGTGTTTTTGTAGATCATTTATGCTACTTTATTAGTTTAACGCTGTCATCTTTTTTTTTTTTCCACTGTAGTTTTGAGCAGCTGTGCATCAACTTCGCCAACGAGAACTTGCAGCAATTCTTTGTCCGCCACGTCTTTAAACTGGAGCAGGAAGAATACAACCTGGAGGACATCAGCTGGCAGCACATTGAGTTCACAGACAACCAGGATGCATTGGACATGATCGCCAACAAACCCATGAACATCATCTCCCTCATAGATGAAGAGAGCAAGTTTCCCAAGGTGCAACAGATATTTAGTAGATACTTGTAAAGATAAGTCTTACTGAATTTGGCTTTGATTGATGTGCGTTTTTTTTTTTCTTTTCAGGGAACTGATGCTACGATGCTGTATAAGCTCAACTCTCAGCACAAGCTCAACTCCAACTACATTCCTCCTAAAAACTGCTACGAAACCCAGTTTGGTATCCAGCACTTTGCAGGAGTGGTACATTACGAGACCAGAGGTACGTCCCTGTTCATCAGATTTTTTCTGTTTGTGTTGGTTTGTCTGATTTAAACTTATATTGAAGCAATGATTTTTATTCTCTCACTGATACGTTTAAAAATGCCAGCAGGAATCGACTGTACTGAACAGACCAGTCACAAAAGTTGCATAGACCTGACGTGTAGTTACATTTCTAGGGAGGTGCACATCAGGTTACAATGTTGATTTCCCGCTGAAGCATAAATTTCCAGTAACTCCAGACCCTAATTTGGCCTTTGAAGGTTGTTTTCCCGAGTCTTTCAATCAAGTGGGTGAAATAAACATTCTATCAAAAGGTCATTCAGAAAAGTTAGCAGCAGGCACACTGAGAGGATATTGATTCTGAAATCAACCTGTCCTGACAGGATTTTTCTTGTTTCCTCAAAACAAATGTGTTCTTCCCGAGTTATTACTTTTAAAAGGTCAGTAGGGAAAGTTACCAGCAGGCACATTAAGATCATATTGATTAAAAAATAACTTTGGTCTGAAGAAGTTTTTTCTGAGGAAGCACAGACAGTTCGGATGAGGGTCTCATGGAGGGTGTTTGGCCACAGCAGTCTTAATAGATGCTTCATCACAGCTGTAAGAGCTCTCACCTCTCAGGCTCTTACAGCTGCTGGAGAAACTAATCATTATCACATACTCTGAGCTGGTCCAAAAATGAACACTTTGTTTCACAAGATTCACTCAGAATTACATTAAAGAGGATATTAAGGATAAATATCGGTTTCAATCAGAAATTCTTCATCTGCAAAAATCAAAGCAAGAATTTAGAGTTTAGATGCCAGAAGAATAGTTACAAAGAAATCATTTAAGCCAGATGTTCCGGTCTTAAGGGATATCGACACAGGAAGCGATTCACTCATCGTGCATCGTTTTGATGCTGGGAGTCGGCTCTGGTTGCCTGGTAACCATCTAACATGTCTACCAACTTGTCATAAGTTAATGTCATATCCTTCACACTCATTGGTAGTTGAGAAAAGTTTAAAAGGGCATCCACACAGGAAGTGACTAGCAGCAATGTAGCGTCCAGAGTAGGGATGGGTATCGTTTAGGTTTTATCCGATACTGGTGCCAAATCGGTACTTTTGAAACGTTGCCGGTGCTTAAACGGTGCTCGAACCGGTGCTTAAAGAATGGAAAACACAAACTTGTCCAAAAACCTCTTATGTTTAGCTGTTTGTTTGTAAAAAAATAACAATGTTAGCCTTTTCTGCAGCTATAGGTCATATATGGTATCACTCTTGGCTGGAAGCAGTGATTAAACAATGGAAAAAACACATACTTTGTCCAAAAACCTCTCATTTTTAGCTGTTTTCCACTTTTTCTTTGGTAATTTTAGCCTTATTGGCCAGGGTGAAGGGAGTATTTGCCATCAAACAAGAAGACAGCCGCATGTAACTACGATGGTGTTTGCTAGTTCACCTTATGTGCATTATTTTAATAACGTGATTAGCCTACTCAACGTAAATTACACACGAACAACATTAAGCTACTGACCCAGAGAAGAACGGCTGCTGCTGCCATCATCATCCGTCATCATTTCTGCTACACTGGCAGGGCTAGGGGCCAGGACTCTCCTCTTCGGGTTCTTGGGGGGATGTTGCTAACTCCGGTTCCGATAACAGGCTCCACACCGGCAGTAGATGTGCCGGTGTGAGGTCTCACAGCAAGCTATCAAATACGGCGCATTTCTCGGCTTAAAAAAAAACCTGCTATGCGTCACCAGGTGTTTCATCAGATTCGAGGTGTTACCTCCTTTGCACAGTATCAGCTTAAAGCACTTGTTGCAGGCTGCTGAGTTTGCATCTTTTGCTGTGGAGTACAGCCAGAATTTTGACTGCTTCGCCTTGGGCATTTTTAAGCTGTAGTTCTGCTCTAAAAGAATGTACGTACCTGGGCCCGCCTACTATCCTTGGAAAGGTAAAATGATTGGCTAGAATCCAAAGTGTATGACATCTCAGGGAAAAAAGCACTGAAATGTGCGCTGCTTTTCGGTCTGGTTACTACCGTTTATGTCAGAACCGGTGCCAACAATGGCAGGGCTACAGACGAAAGGTAAAAGCAGCATTACCTTAGAGGGGTTTACCTCTGACAAACATCTGGCAGACAGTCTTAACAGTTTTTACCTTCGTTTTGAGAACTATGATTGTTCTAGGCAGACCAGCACATTGAGGGAAAAGACCATCACTCCCCCATCTATTTGTATTGATGAGACAGGGGTAGCTAATCTTTTTAGACATACCAAAAGCAAGAGTCCTGGACCTGACAACATCTGTGGACAGGTACTGAGAACTTGTGCTGATCAGCTGAGTGGGATTTTTCACTATATCTTCTCACTTTCTTTAGAGCTACAGACAGTACCTAAAATTTGGAAACATGCGATCATTGTCCCTGTTGCTAAGGGCAGTTCTCCTAAGGCACTGAATGATTTTAGGCCTGTGGCTCTGACTTCTTTAGTGATGAAGACATTTGAGAAGATAATTAAGAAGGAGATTTTAATGCATGTTGAACACCATCTTGACCCCTTCCAGTTTGCCTATAGAGCAGGGAGAGGCGTGGAGGATGCTGTTGTCACACTTCTGCATCTCTTGTATAAGCATCTTGAGGCCCCTCACACCCATGCAAGATTATTATTTGCTGACTTTTCATCTGCATTTAATACAATTCAACCCCTCTTACTTCCTGACAGGCTTTACAATCATTTCAAGCTTGACACTAGTCTGGTCGGCTGGGTGACAGACTTTCTGACTAATAGGTCACAATGTGTGAGGGTAAATCATGTCTTTTCTGATGTGCTCTCCTCCTCTACTGGATCACCCCAGGGTTGTTGCCTCTCTCCCCTTCTGTTCATTCTGTACACAAATGAGTGTCGCAGCAATTTCACAAACAGACACATCCTGAAGTTTGCTGACGACACAGTGATCGTCAGTCTTCTAGTGGGGGACGAGTCAGGCCATGGACAGGTTGTAGATGATTTTGTGAATTGGTGTGATGAGTCCTTCCTTTCACTTAATGTGTCAAAAACTAAAGACATGATTATTGATTTTAGGAAGTCCTCTTATAGCTCATCACCCACTATCATTAAAACTGCCGATATTGGGATCGTTGAGAGTTATAAATATCTAGGTGTGGTACTTGACCATAAACTGTGTTTTGAATCTCATGCTGATGCCACTACTAAAAAAGTTCAACAAAGACTGTTCTTTTTAAGGAAAATGAGATCTTTTAACGTCTCATCTGAGATGTTGTCCTTGTTTTATAGAAGTTTTATCGAATCTGTGATGTCTTTTTGTATCGCTGCCTGGTTTGGTAACCTAACGGTGAAGAACAAGAATCGGTTGGGACTTCTGGTAAAAACTGCTAGCAAAATTTCAGGGCGCTGGCAAGATGGACTTTTGGCCATTTACAATAGAAATGTGCTTAGAAAGGCTCATTCTATTATTAATTGTGTGAACCATCCACTTCACAGTGAGTTTGAGTTGTTGCCTTCCGGCCGCCGTTTTAGAGTACCTCCGAGGAGGACTAAAAGACTCCAGGTCTCTTTTATCCCTACTGCGTCTTGTCTCCTTAATGGCAAATAATTGTCCTTGAATTTTTTATCATTATTGTTATTATTGTTTTATAGTATTGTTCTGTTTGTTCTTATCCTCCTGCTGCTAAACTAATTTCCCCTTGTGGGACAATAAAGAAATTGAATTGAATTGAATTGAATTGAATGATACCGGTACCCATCCCTAGTCCAGAAGCCACTGAAAGTCAATTACATTCAGCGACTTTAAGTGACTACGGGCACTACGGGGACCCGCCCATTGGCCTCTCAACTTCAAGACAAGACACTGAAGCCACAACACATGAGAGTGAAGGATAGTGTTGACTGACGTATGAGACCATGGTAAATACATAGGGTTACCTAGACAACCACAGCCTGGAATGTCCACTAGTGGCTGATCATCAGTTTCAACACACTCCTTAACTCAGGACCAGCCCCATTCCCAGTGTTTATTTGTCCTGTGTGGCTGGTTCCGGTGTGGATTAACTATTTTTTTAATTTTAACCTCCTAGGACCTGGCGTCCACATATGTGCACATCCCATTTTGGGTTATTTAGACCAAAATACTCAATTTTGCTCTACAAGGGCCTGATATCCACTTACGAGGACATTATATGCTACTGTTCTATCGAAATTTTAAATGAATATCCTCATACGTGGCTCTCATTTTTCTTAGAAACAAAAATCAGGTAAAAAAAAAAATCTGGTAATTCTTTGTTTTTACATTCATTGGTTCCCAATATGCCCAAATATCAAAGAGAAATGAAAAATGCATGCCGTGGAAGAGTTCAGGTCCTAGGAGGTTAAGTTTAACAACTTAACCTCACTTTGTTTAATGTCTCTAAGCTACAACATGCAGACCAGCTTTGAACAGAATTCACTAACATGTCGTTTCATCCTCAGGAAAATATCCCTTGGTTTGTTTGAGTTTGTTTGGAAATTGATGTGAATGCAAAACCTAAACTTCTCTTAAATACATGTATTGCAACTTGAGGTGACTGTTGTGATTTGGTGCTATATAAATAAAATTTAATTGAATATTGCTCATGCACGATACTGTGCTGCTGTGTGAAGTTTAGCTTGTTCCTTTAAAATCATTGCATTCTCATTTAATCTGAAAAGGTCATTCAAGCAAGTTAGCAGTTGTCACACTCACAGAAGATATTGATTAAAACGTTTCAGTTCAATTTAGTGTTGAAAACATGACCAAGATATAGTGATATTTTTTTGTAAATAAATTTCTGTGCAAAAATCAGTGCAGTAAAAATGTTGATTCAAATAAGATATAATCAGTCCTCTGTCTTGCTTTTTCTCATTACGCCCTCCTTTCAGGCTTCCTGGAGAAAAACCGAGACAGCCTCCACACTGACATCATTCAGCTCGTCCACTCGTCCAAGAATAAGTTCATCAAGCAGATCTTCCAGGCTGATGTTGCCATGGTGAGACCAACAAATGCATTAAAATCATGACACTGTATGTTGTATCTTTTTTCTGTTTTGTTATTTGGGTTGGTAAATAATCGATATTCACTTTATTTATTATTTTGGCTTTGAGCTGGAAGAAATTATTACTTTCTTGGATTAATTTTCACTGCAAACTTATGAAGGCTTTTACAGCAGCGCACCTTCACGCCTCTCGAAGAGTTCAGCCTCACCGATTGTTTGTTCAGCTTGAGCTACAATGACAGAAAGAGAGCCTTTGGTCAAGAGCAGTAGGTAGAAGAAGTAAAAGACATTAAGCCTGAGCAGCTGCCTTTGTTTTACCCGGCCCCTGTCAGCAACATGAGACTGTGGCTTTCCATCACTCTCCCACTGCACAGATCTCCCACGATGTGCACATCTGCCACCCCCTGTCTTTGGTGTGGCTGCAGCTTTGCAGGGACTGTGAGTTGCCCTTGTGAGGCAAGCTTAAAGGTCCTAGCTCCCTACCTGATGACCCGATGTCCCACACCGCATCCACCTCTCTCTTTATTAATTTGTTTTAAAGATTTATAAATTGCATGATGTTTAAGCTTGTAAGTAATTAGATTAACCATGTACTTATGAAATTACAATATTGATCAAAATGATCATGAATATGTTTTTTACCATAGCCGAGCAACCCTACTTTAACACATTGCATCATTTTCAGTTTCTTTCTGAAGCGTTTTAAATCTGTAGACCGGTGTTGTTAACATCGTGCGTGTCTTCTGCCTTCCTTCGGCTTCTCTCCTAATGACAAACACCTCCTCTCACTCTGCTCTCTTTTCTCTTTCCTCTTTCTTTTCCTCCTGAAATCAGTTTCTATGTGGCTATCAGCAGCCCAGCACACCTGCTCCCAAGGTAATCACCAGCCTTTAGCCACATGTGGTCCCTCCAACCCCGTGTGTGTTCTCTTAAGCCGAGTCCAATTATCCATGACGTGCTTAGCAGCATCCCTCTGCTCCCTCTCAGCCCTTCTTTTTATTTCACAGGTGTGCCAAAAGCAGAGGGGAACATTGTGCTGATGAGGGGAAATTTGGCGTGAAGTTAATGAAAAATAATCTTTCAAACTCTCTGACACAGTAGGCAGTTCTGCATACAGACGAAAACTCCTGCATGCTTTTAAAATGTTTAAATCTAATTTTGTTTTGGCTTTACTCACAGGATCACAGTGACAACTGGTGTCAGAGATTTTGTGTTGTCTCCTCTTTTAATTGTCCGTCGTGTGCAATAGAAATAACGTGAGAGCAATCTGTGTTTGCTTTGTGGATCTTAAGAGTTTGAAGCCACTGGTTATTTATGGTTGTAGAGGTTCAAAATTAAATTCCCATTTAGGGTGTTTTATATACCATTGTGATGTCCCATTACAGCAGCATCAATAGCATGTCTTTACCTGCAGTGCAAACATTCTGAAACTATCTGTTTTGTATGTGTTTGCGTTCGTAGGGCGTTGAGACGAGGAAGCGCTCCCCGACTCTGAGCAGTCAATTCAAACGATCTCTGGAGCTGCTGATGAGGACGCTCAGTGTGTGTCAGCCGTTCTTCGTTCGCTGTATAAAACCCAACGAACTTAAAAAACCCATGGTGAGCGTGATTTATTACTATGTATGCGCTTCTGTGTTGCGATGCCCCAGAGTACAGAGATATGTTCAGAGTAGGGTGACCATATTTTGATTTCCAAAAAAAGAGGACACTTAGCTCAGTCATGAAGAACTTGCTTAAAGAAACATATTTAACATATTTAAACGATGCCTTCTCTGTGTGGTTAATTAATTGTGAAATAAAATATGTCATATAGGCTTTTACAAGTCAACAAGTGCAAAAAAAAATAACTTAAAAACCTCTGGAATTAAATAATGGTACAGAAATAATGCCTCATCTGCATAAAAAGAATTACCAGTACTGGGTCGGTATGAGGGCTGGACTGGGACAAAAACTTGACCAGGGCATTTTGACTAGAGACCGGCCCACCAGGTATTATAGGAAAAGCCATAAAGCCTTTGAATGAAAACGAACACTGTTGTGACAGTGATGTACAGTCTTGTTGGTATATGTATGATTTCTATACATTTTACATCAGATAAGAACTTTGTTTGTAAGATTCAGATAATTATTTAATAAAAGTGAGACATTTTAAATGAGAATAAGAAAGAAAAGTGTTATGATATTTTGATACCATAGTAGCATTTACAGGATATTGTTTTATTGTGATATTATACAGAAAAGAGTCACTCAATAAGGCCCATCTACTAGTTGTTTTTCTCTTTCTCTGTGACCCAAGAATTAATGTGTAGGACTCACAAGCTGGTACCCGAAGGTCGAAAACACCACAGAGATGAGACCACTTCCTTACTCCCATCCTCCCTTTTTCTTTATCTCCTGGAAAAGGCTCGTTAAAGGCTAGGTGGTTCGTTTCAGAATTCACTAATGAAAGAACTCTGTATTTTATGTCTAGGAGTGTATTTTGCTGGGATGATCATAAATTATAGCTGAACTGATAAACTACACAAGGGATACTTTGCTCAGAAGGCAGGAAGACGTTTCCTTATTTAGTCTGTACCGGTTTGAACTGGGAAAGCTGACACACGAACCTTTTTTTTCTCTATATAAACTGCTGTGTATCAAATAAACCTTTGAGTTGATTCTGGGAAAGCAATCTGAACAGTTTCTGTATCACTTTGTTCTCCTAACTGCTCCCGATATCGTAACTAACCCAGCTGAACGGCATACCTGAGTGTTACTTTAAATAATTAGGAATCTTATAAGGAAAGGACAAAACTCTGCTTATCGCTCACGCCACGGAGGAAACCCGGGACGGCAATTTCCTTCAATTTTGGTGTCAGAAGTGGGATTCGAACCCACGCCTCCAAAAAGTATTTCCTTGTGCCCCCTCTCCCTGTTAATGCCCTACCTGCCCCCTGGCAAAACTTTGCTAGACCCGCCCCTGCACAGTTACCAGCTGTCAGCTACATAGAAAAGGATCCTGGTGTTATTTGTCTCTCAGAAACAGTTCAGAACTTCCCTTCAACTCATTCATGTCACCTAAAAGGTAATCCTGTTTCTCCATCACCTGTTTAGCTCTGATGATTCAGTAAGGACATCTCCTGGTTTCATCTTCATGTTTCCATCTCGCCACATATCCAAACCGATATCATATCACTATCAGTAACATAGCACCCACCCAGCTGTATAGAAACTCCGTCATGCTAGCTAGCACGCAGTACGAGTTATTGTAACTGACTGTAAAATGTCAGCACAACGAAAATAAACTCCACCTAAACTTGGTTTATATCTGACCCAGATAGACTGCAGGTCATAACTTCTTAACTGAAGTTCAGTATACCTGACACTCATCCACCTGCTGGCCTCTGTGGAAGCTCCGCCATAGACACCACCAAATAACTGAGTTATTTTCACACACCGGCCAGCATCTGGCAAATCCACCACCTTTCATTGTTTATACCGTTACAAACAACAACAACGACAACAAAACCATCCCGGTATGCCCGATGGTCAGTCCAGCTATGGTCGGTACGAGGGAAATCTCTTTTGCAGTTCGTCTGAAAAGATGCACTTGCGCTTTGGGATCGTTTAAACATCATTAGGCGCGTTGCTGTGCGCTGTCAGTCCCATCTGTGAGCACAGAACAAGCGCTCACAAAGCAGCAGTTCGGGGATGACGTCACACACATGGGTCCTCTATCGGAATACAGGAAAACCCGGACATTTTTATCAATCTCGAAAATCCCCCCGGACAGAATGTGAAAAGTGGACATGTCCGGGGGAAAAGAGTTGGTCACCCTAGTTCAGAGTGCAGCCACGGCATAGCACCGCCCCCTTGTGAAAACAGACTGCCTCTGTTATATAGTAAAGTTTTCATACTGTTAGGCTACTAAAGTAGAATTTTTACTTATATATATATATATATATATATATATATTAAACTTTCTCATAGTTGTGGAGTTAAATGAGAACACTGATGATGCTAAATTAGCTTAGCATATACCCGGCATAAAAGCTTATTACAGCATGAAAACGCTGGCTCTATCTGAAGGTAAACTCATGAAAAACTCAACACTCGTAATGCTGAACATACAGTCATAAAAAGTCATAAAAAGTATTATTGCAGTAACATAAGACTATCAGTAGGACTATATTTTGGCTGGGAAAACTATCTTCCTGAAACGTAGTTAGCTGCGATAAGCTAACTAACGCTCCTGAAATTATAGAAATGGTCTAAAACACAAGCATCACAAACATTAGTTTGAAACTAAAATAAAACTGGGCCTGTAAGCTTCTAATTTCACGTATTCATAGCTTATAGCTCACCAGTGATTGTGTGACCCACTTTAGCATGATGTAGATTTAGTTTTGGTTTGAACCCCAAACCTTTATAAGCCTTCATTTGCACATCAGGAGGCACTGCAGAAAAGGGTTAACTCACGTTTTAACACTGGATGCTTGTTTCTCCTTCTCAGCTGTTTGATCGAGAGCTGTGCGTTCGTCAGCTGCGCTACTCTGGCATGATGGAGACCATCCGGATTAGGCGGGCGGGTTATCCAATCAGATACACCTTCGCCGAATTTGTGGATCGTTACCGAGTCCTGATGCCTGGCGTCAAACCTGCTCACATACAGGTCAACATTAAAATCAGTCATCTGTTTCACTGCTTAGTCCTGACAGATTATTTTAGCTGAGATATTATCATTATTATTAAAGAATCTTTTACTTAGATTACAGAATGATGGATTTTTAGAGCATATATCCACATTAATACAGCATATAAAACACGGTGTAGAGGCTATTTGAGCTTCCAGTCTTGTATCAAATATAATTACGGTATATTTACAGCAGCATACCCTTGTTTAAAAATGTGAATATGGTTTGGAAAGTATTTGAAGCTGTCTTTAATGAATTTTGACCTTAAATTAACTTACTTAAAAAATATATTTGGATATATTTAATAGATGTTTGTTAAATTTAAAACTGACACATTGCTACATAACCTTCTTAACTCTTTCCCCCATTGAGACAACATTTGATGACCTCCCCTGTAGCGTTAATGATGAGTTTTGACATTTTTTACTATATATCAGTAAAGTTGTGGTTTGTTCTGGATTTTTCCAAGATCCCCCTGACATCAGTCATTTTGTTTTATAGGCAGGAAATCTAATATGACAGCTCAGAAAGTTCAGAGAAGAGAAACGAGGGTTACCCCAGTAGGTGTCTAAGGTCGAAAGAGTTAAACTGACTGTAATTCAACGTTTCCTTAATTCTGATGAAAATCTTAATGATAAACCTTAAAACAAAGTACAAATTCATGTCAGGAGTCATTATTTCTCATTTTTTCTTTCCAGGAGGACTTACGGGGAACCTGTCAGCAAATAGTCCAGGCCCGGCTGGGAAAACATGATGACTGGCAGATTGGAAAGACTAAAATCTTTCTAAAGGTTGGTTTCCTCATGTGAAAGTTAGCTTACTGAGGCCTTGATCCAAAGACTTCTGAATATTCGGCAGAATATTAGACAGTTTAGGCTCCTGGTGATGTAGCAAAAGGCTTTTCTGCCTTAAAAAAAGTTTTAGACCTTCTTAATGAAGCTCACTGCAGTGTCCATCTGTGTAAATGTTGAACAAGGTCTTTAGTTCATTTATCACAGGATTTCTTCTGCAGCTCAATAAACTTTTTTGATTTTGCAGGTTCTTTTTAGCATAGCAGCAAAAAGAGAAAACACAAGCATGCTCAATCAGTCAATGACATTCACTGCTGTCATCCCCAACCAGACACTTTGAGGGGGCAAACCATCCTAGCAGGTCAATTGTATGTGGTTAGGGTATACACTAGGTAGAAATGCTGTACTTCCTGGCTGTTTCTACTGTTCTTTTCTAATAAAAGCAAAATCACCAAAAACTTTGATGACCAAGAACATTTTTTACTTTAATAGCTCAAGTTTGTTCCCTCTAGACGAATTGTCTCAGTATGGGTCCCCAAGGCAAAAAACACGAGCTCCTATAAAGATAATTTCAAGTGTTTTATTTAAGTTATTAAACATAGTTTTGGCAAAAGAGCTCTACTGTGCCTTTTTGTTGCATATTATAATTTAATAACTTTTCTTTTCTTTATTTGCCACTTTGTCTCCTTTCAGGATCACCACGACATGCAGCTGGAGATAGAGAGGGACAACGCCATCACCGACAAGGTCATCCTTATCCAGAAGGCTGTGCGTGGGCTTAAAGAGAGGTAAGCGACTTGTAGGCGATTCCCAAATATCAAAAGTGTTTGTAGCTCATTGGAATAATGCTCTCTTCTTCCTTAAAGTGTAAAATTAGGTCCAGGATATATACATATCTTTGGTTTACCACAGCGTGAAGCAAAGGAGTAATGAAAAGAGATTTCTGTCTTAACCTACAAAGATAAAGGTTTGAAATCTAGTTTGTTTCCTTCTGTCACTCCTCCAAGAACAAACTTCCTCAGACTGAAGGGCGCTGTGACTGTTATTCAGAAGGTCTGGAGGGGTTACCGGTGCAGAAAGAATTACCAAATTGTGAGTTGTCTACATCAACAGCCTGTTTTTCTGTAGTTTTTTATGCACTGAAATATTCTGAAAGCCTCAGTATGTATTTGTTTCTTCCAATTTTCATCTGTTCTCTCTGTTTTTTGTTTTCAAATTTGCAAGGTCGTCTTAAACCAGATTAAAACGAGACAGAGTGCAGTGGTAGCTCTTTCTTTATTTTATTCCAAGTTGCATAAAATTGAGCCTGGTCGTTTTTACAATCTTGCTTCTTGCAAATGTTAAAGACATATGAAAACATTCCTTCCCCAAGATGTAGTCATGTGCGAGCCTCAGCACACGGTGTCCAATACAAACAATTACAACACCAACAAAAAACAAATTAAATACATAACAATAATACCTGACCTGTCAAACGCGTTCCCCTCCTTCAGATGCAGTCCGGCTTCTTGCGTCTCCAGGCCGTCTACAGGTCGAGGAAGTACTACCGAAGCTACCGGACGACTCGCCTTCGTGTGACTCTCATCCAAGCCCGTTGCCGCGGTTTCCTCATCCGGCAGGCATTTTGGCGGCGTCTTCGTGCCGTGTTGACCATCCAGGCCTACACCAGGGGCATGATAGCCAGACGCCTCTGCCAGAGGCTCAGGGCAGAGGTAAATAGTTACTACATTTACTACTGCTACCTAAATCATGTTGTAGGCGGGTCAGGAAGACGAGAACACTGGTCCTGAGGGCAGACTGACAGATGGAGGTGAAAGATAATATGGCGTCTTTATTATATTTTATCTGTGCTAGATGCAACTGAACACAAGTTTGTTACTTTGATGAAGAGACAGACGATATCATTTTCAAGTCTACCCAGTTAGCTTAGCTTAGCATAATAAGTGGAAAAAAAGGGTTCACCTGTAGCTTCTGTTCAAAAGTTACAGACTTAGTATAGATCTACATAGCTACCAGCTCCAAAAAGTGAAGCCAATGCAGAAGTGCCTTAAACCTCCATATTTTTTTTGTAATGACCAGAGCAGGGGGTCCTGTGTTTGCAAAAACCTCATAGCCTCTTTTGATTTATGATCTCATTAAACCCTTTTTGATGAGTTTATGGCCTCAGTCACTAGTTTTATGCCTTGTTTAATAATGTCAATTTTGTAACTTAAGATCACATTAAGAGTCCTATTTAGTAAGCAGTGGTTATCAACACTGTGGCTGATCAGCATTTTGTATACAGTCTGTACTAACAATATCCAAATGAATCTCAGTCAGAAACATATAACTCGCTTATTAGTGCCATTTATCTTATTTAATGCTAAAATAATTTTTAAAATAACACTTTTTGATTTTGTTACCTTCAGAAAAAAACTATTTCTTTATGTTAAGCTGCTCTGGTGGCTCTGGCTTCACATTGTCATGAGAATAGCAATTATGTGAATAACTTAATTGTGACAACAGCCACTAAAGAATTAGGGAGTTGATATAAACGTCAGCGTGCCGTTACAAAAATCTTTTGATTTCATCCTTTGATAAATAAAAGGCCTCTAATCACCAATAATTTTATTTGCTACAATGAGCAAAATGATTCAATGAAGTAGCAAAATAATCCATAATTGAATCTTACCTTTTGATTTTTGTATCAGTCATGTCAGGCTTTATTTAAAAAAGCGACCACCCCACCACTGTAAGTTATTTTTTATTTCTTTTTTTGATTCAAAAGGAAATCCCTGTCATTCCAATGAAAATGTTTAATGTGTGTGTATGTGTTTTTTTTAAATATGCTTGGTTAGGATGTAATTTATTCAGTTATAATGTAAAACCCCAACTTATTGAAAGTGTTCCTGAGATCATGCAGATATTTCCATGACAGACTCATACATATTTTTAATGAAGTGGTGCCTGAGGACCCGAAGATCATAGACATATTATTGATTTTTAGCCTTGTCCCTTGCGCAGAGATTTCTCTAGATTTTTCTCAGTCTTTTGATGATATAATGTGCATTAAAGATGAGATATTCAAAGTCTTGGCAATTTTACGTTGAGGAACTTTATTTTGAAATGCAATTTTTAGAGAACATCTGCCTATCATTACTCCCAATAAACTCTGCCTCTCTAAGAAGCTCTTTTTATACCCAATCATGTTACTGACCTGTTGCCAAATAAGCTGATTAGTTGTAAGATTTTCCTCTATATGTTTCTTTTTATTGCCACTTACTTTTCAGCCTTTTTTTCCCCCTCTCTCCAAGTTTTTTGAGACATGTTGGTCCCATCAAATTAAAAATTGCCTAATATTTTTCATTTAACAGTAAAATGTCTCATTTTAAACATTTGATTTGTTTTGTGTTTTATTGTGAATAAAATATGGGATTATGACATTTAGAAATCATTGGATTCTGTTTTTATTTACATTTTACACAGCGTCCAGCCGTCTTGGAATAAAGGTTGGACAGTTTGGTTTATCATGTGGTCAGACATAAGATGAAAATATTAGTCCTGGGTATTTAACTCTGAGTGGGGTTGTCATCTTGGTGGTGGTCCTGGAAGTTGCCAAGCCACCCTCACATCATGTGATTGGTTAGGTCACATGAGTTGCCTCTGCTGGCCTTCATTGGGTTTAGGGTAGTCACGGCTCAAAGGCCCATTCTGAGCCAGGATTTGTTAGTGTGAGTTTAAATAATTTTTTAGATCTTTTGCAAAGTTTTGTTTCACTTGTCTTTATATATTCTTACATTTATTCTTTCTGTATTAAACTCTGTTGGCCTAAATTATGTCACCATAAAACTATTTTTAACACATTATGTTACACCGATTTTAAATAAAAGTCTGTAAAGCTGTTTTCATACATGCACTGCAGCTCTGAGCTGTGATAAACACGATTCGATGGATTCACATGTGAGAATGCAAATGTCCCATGTAGTCAGGTCAGTCTTTAACCTGCCGGCGCTGACATGCTGGTTCTCAGAGTATTTCCAGTTGCTCGGTGCAGACTGTTTTCCCCTGTGTGCTACATCTTTGAGAGCATAAATGTGGGTAATATCCTGACCTGAGTCTCAGGAAATTGTCCAGAATTTATGTGTGAAAACAGCTTTTGTAAACTATGGAAATGTTTGTTAGCTTTTCAACTTTTTCAGGGTAAAATTGCTATTTTTATATGATTTTTTTCCCCTGAAGACTGTTAAATAAAATATTGTATTTTGTAAATGTTTGCTTAATCTCATTTTCTTATTAAATTGAATGTTCGGGGAACTGTAATATTCTCAAACATGTCTGCAGTTCAAGCGAAGAGCGTGAGGTCTCTAGGAGCACCGCAGCAGAGCGGGTGACAGACCAGAGGCGGCTGCTGCTGCGTGTTATCATGTTAAACATGTTCATGTGTCAGAGTGTTACAGTGTTGACCTCTGCACTGTTTTTATTCATTGTTGGTTATGTTAGTGTGTAGAAGTTTAGATTTATTCTTCTGTGAATAGCTCATACTTCATGTCGTGTTCAGCTTTAAACAATATTCATAATCTTTGTTGACTATTATCTAATGATAATGATTTGGTAGATTAGTGTCTACTCTAGTTTTGACTAACAGTTAATAGAGAGCAAGACAAACAATAAGATAACAGAGAAAATGTAAGCATAATGCTCCATCTTCCTCTGTGAACTCTTGTCCCTCTGTTCCTCCTCTCACCTCCCTCTACAGCTGCAGCATCGACTGGAAGCTGAGCGCCAGCGCCTGGCTGAGGAGGAGCAGCTGCGAAACCAGATGACAGTTCGGCGGGCGAAGGCTGAGGCTGAAAGGAAACACCAGGAGCGGCTCATCCAGCTGGCACAGCAGCAAGAGGACAGGGAGCGGGAGGAAAAGGAGGAGTCGAGGAGGAAGAAGGAGCTGCTGGAGCAGATGGAGAGGGAGAAGGAGCAGCCAGTCGACCACTCGGACATGGTTGACCGTATGTTTGGTTTCTTGGGGAACTCTGGGCCGCTGCCCAACCAGGATGGACAGGCACCAGCTGGTTTTGAAGTATGTATATGTGGGTTTTGTAGTCCAGAAAAGATGTCTGATTAAATCATCCATTAGCTAGGATTCCCCCCTCCGGTTTTTGAGGGGGACACATGGGGTTCTTGGGATTTTTTTCCAGGAAATGTCAAATATGTAATTTCCTTAATTTCTGGTAATCTGTGCATGCCCCTGCATGCATTTATGATGGAAATAGTATAAAGATAATATCCTTGGCCCTAAAGAGGTTGCATGAATACTTCAACTCCTTCAGAATGGAATATCAATACATGTCATTGCCAAGAGGTGTGCTGTGTCTCCTATCTCAATGTCAAGAACATGGAGACAGGCAATTACTTGAGGAGAGCTGGACAGGGCCATAGAAGGCTCTTAACCCATCACTGGACCAGTATCTGCTCCTTTGTGCGAGGAGGAACAGAATGAGCACTGCCAGAGCCACAAAATGACCTCCCGCAGGCCACTGGTGTGAATGTGTTCACACATTATTACTTCTAGGCTACTACTGTCATTCATTATTATCAGGATGTGCTAAAAACTCCCTGAAAAGCCTTCAGTTAATTCAAAATGCTGCAGCAAGAGTACTGATGGGGACTAGAAAGAGAGAACATATTTCTGCTCTATTGGCTTCCCTTCATTGCCTCCCTGTTAAATCCAGAATTGAATTCAAAATCCTGCTCCTCACATACAAGGTCTTAAATAATCATCTTATCTTAATGACCTTGTAGTACCATATCACCCTATTAGAGCACTTCACTCTCGTACTGCAGGCCTACTTGTTGTTCCTAGAGTATTTAAAAGTAGAATGGAAGGCAGAGCCTTCAGTTTTCAGGCCCCTCTTCTGTGGAACCAGCTTCCAGTTTGGATTCAGGAGACAGACACTATCTCTACTTTTAAGATTAGGCTTAAAACTTTCCTTTTTGCTAAACCATATAGTTAGGGCTGGATCAGGTGACCCTCAATCCTCCCTTAGTTATGCTGCAATAGGTGTAGACTGCCGGGATATTCCCATGATGCATTGAGTTTTTCTTCTTCAGTCACCTTTCTCACTCTTCAGTCACCTCTCTGCATTGAATCACGCTTGTTATTAATCTCTGTCTCTCTTCCACAACATGTCTTCTATCCTGTCTTCCTTCTCTCTCCCCAACCATTTGCGACAAATGGCCCCGCCCCTCCCTGAGCCTGGTTCTGCCGGAGGTTTCTTCCTGTTAAAAGGGAGTTTTTCCTTCCCACTGTCGCTAAAGTGCTTGCTCATTGGAGGTCATACACTGAACAAAAATATAAACGCAACACTTTTGTTTTTGCTCCCATTCCCCATGGGATGGACGTAGAGACCTAAAATTCATTCCAGATACACAATATAACCATCCCTCCCAAACAGTGGTCACAAATCAGTCCAAATGTGTGGTAGTGGGCACATCTGCCATATTGAGATAATCCATCCCACCTCACAGGTGTGCCACATCAGGATGCTGATCTGACATCATGAGTAGTGCACAGGTGTACCTCAGACTGCCCACAACAAAAGGCCACCCTGGAATGTGCAGTTTTGTCTCACAGCAAAATGCCACAGATGCCACAAGCAATGAGGGAGCGTGCAATTGGCATGCTGACAGCAGGAATGTCAACCAGATCTGTCACCCGTGCATTGAATGTTCATTTCTCAACCATAAGCCGTCTCCACAGGCGTTTCAGAGAATATGGCAGCACATCCAACCGGCCTCACAACCGCAGACCTCGTGTAACCACACCAGCCCAGGACCTCCACATCCAGCAGGTTCACCTCCAAGATCGTCTGAGACCAGCCACCCAGACAGCTGCTGGAACAATTGGTTTGCACAACCAAACAATTTCTGCACAAACTGTCAGAAACCGTCTCAGGGACGCTCAACTGCATGCCCGTCGTCCTCATCGGGGTCTTGACCTGACTCCAGCTCGTCGCCGTAACAGACTTGTGTGGGCAAATGCTCACATTCGATGGCATCTAGCACGTTGGAGAGGTGTGCGCTTCACGGATGAATCATGGTTCACATTGTTCAGGGCAGATGGCAGCTGAGAATGTCCCAGTTCTTGCATGGCCAGCATACTCACCGGACATGTCACCCATTGAGCATGTTCGGGATGTGCTTGACCGGCGTATACGACAGCGTGTACCAGTTCCCACGAATATCCAACAACCTCGCACAGCCATTGAAGTGGAGTGGACCAACATTCCACAGGCCACAATTGACAATCTGATAGACTCCATGCGACGATGTGTTGCACTGCATGAGGCAAATGGTGGTCACACCAGATACTGACCGGTTCTGGGTCCCCAGACCCCCAATAGCGCAAAAAACTGCACATTCCAGGGTGGCCTTTTGTTGTGGGCAGTCTGAGGTACACCTGTGCACTACTCATGATGTCAGATCAGCATCCTGATGTGGCACACCTGTGAGGTGGGATGGATTATCTCAATATACCCGATGTGCCCACTACCACACATTTTGACTGATTTGTGACCACTGTTTGGGAGGGATGGTTATATTGTGTATCTGGAATGAATTTTAGGTCTCTACGTCCATCCCATGGGGAATGGGAGCAGTAACAAAGGTGTTGCGTTTATATTTTTGTTGAGTGTATGATTGTTGGGTTTTTTCTCTGTATGTATTATTGTAGGGTCTACCTTACAATATAAAGCACCTTGAGGCGACTGTTGTTGTGATTTGGCGCTGTATAAATAAAACTGAATTGAATTGAATGTCTGACCAAAAAAATCTGAAAAAACTTTATGAGAGTGGTCTGAGTGCTGACTTCCTTTATTGGGCCCTGTGCTGACTGCCTGGCATCATAGCGCCTGACTGACATTTGCCATAGAAAGCCAAAATTGGCAGGACCAACACTGGCACCCCGCGCGTTTCACAGATGAGATTCACTTTGAGCACATGTGACAGACGTGAAAAGGTCCAATCATGTTGCCTGCAACATCATTCACAAATGACAGTGGCTCAATGGTGGTCTGGTAAGGCATATCCACAGAGGGATGCACAGACCTCTACAGGCTAGGCAACAGGACCCTGACTGCTGTTCGGTATCAGGATGTAATCCTTGGACCCATGTCAGACCCTATGCTGGTGTAGTGGGTCCTGGGTTCCTCCTGGTCCACGGAAATGCTCCGGCTCATGTGGTAAAAGTATGCAGGCAGTTCCCGGAGTCCAATAGTAAACCTCTGAGACATTCTGTTTCTGTCCAGTCGACACCACCAGGTTCCACCTCAGACTTAGTGATGCCATGGTCCTAGTCTACACTGAGGGTTTTAGTACTATTTAGATGTAGGAAGTGAATGGTTTGTTTGGTCCTCACCAAGAACAGTGTTCAGTGTTTTGGTCTCTGGTTTTTGGCTGATTTAAATGTTTCACTCTCCTTTCAGCTCTTCTGTTTTTTGTCTCCTAGAAATTTCTCTCACATATCATTTTGTTTCTCAGGATTTGGAAAACACGCCTTGTGGTGAGGAAGCTGAAGAGGAGGTTTTGAGCGAGGCTCCCCCGTTACCTGACGAGGAAGAGGAGGATTTGTCAGAGTATAAATTCTCCAAGTTTGCAGCCACCTACTTCCAGGGTGTCTCCATCCACACCTACATCAGACGGCCACTGAAACAACCTCTGCTTTTCCACGAGGACGAAGGAGACCAGCTGGTGAGGCTGACCTTCGATCTCAATCCCAAAGCCTTTTACAGCCCCCGATCATCTATTTAAGTTATTCGTATTATGTGTTAATGGGCTCAGCAGATTTACACACGTACCGGCTGCTGAGCCGATTACGAATATGTTTTGGGCGAAAAAACCAAGTTAAACTGTCACGCTTTTTGTCCTTTTTCTGGAAAAAGAAGAGAACACAACCATATCACCAAAAATGTTGGTTTTTCAGTTTAGTTTTGGTATGAATAAATTGTTAATTTTCTTATTATAACACATAACACAATCCAATCATCTTAGAAAGTTCTTACTGAGACGGCAAAACAGTCACACCTACACAAAGGGACCTTGTAACTCCTCGTTAGCAGAAAGTCAGAGTTCAGACATGTGAATGATCAACTAAAATCCTCTGGGCTTCAAACACTGGCCTACTAAAATGTTTACAATGCTTTACTCTTGACTGCTAGTGGTGCTACAATATAGGCTGTAACCTACAGAAAAAGAGTCTCAAAGCTGGTGATTTTTTATTTATTTTTATAAATCAGAGATAATGCTGTAGAATAATTTTGAAATCACTCTAACGTGTATAATGAAAAATCAGGTGATTTCAAAAAAGTTTTTCTTATTTGCCATATTTGACCTGTCCTCCAGGCGGCTTTAGCTGTATGGATCACTGTGTTGAGGTTCATGGGCGACCTCCCGGAACCCAAATGCCCGATGGTCATCAACGACGGCAGCGAGAAGATCCCCGTCATGACAAAGATCTATGAAACCCTCGGCAAGAGGACCTACAAGCGAGAGCTGCAGGAGCTGCAGGTGGAGGGAGAGGTGAGAGGATGCTGGGGATTGTATGAGTCGTTACAGATTGTCAGGTCAGAGCCTCCAAAATGTCATCTCCTGTTTGTACCTACAGAACAGCTCCATAGACAGCCAGAAGAGGAACAGCGTCAGGCATAAACTCGTGTCACTCACTCTGAAGAGGAAGTCCAAGATCACTGAGGAGGTGAGAAACACATCACTTCTTTTCAGCTGATCTAAGTAAATAATTTATTTAACATGTCCCATGTTTTCCACTTTTAATCATAGGGTGACGTGATAACAGTATATAACCAAACCTTAAAAGAGTGTTAACTTAAACAAAAGAAATGGGAGAACCTGGACAAAAATGGCGGTGTAGTCAGTACCGTCAGTGGTGACTCCAGTTTGGTGGCTGTTCTATGGGGTGTGTATATGTGTCCCATATTATATGTGTTGTACCGAGTCAATCAACTGAAAGGGAATGAACAGTTATGCCTATAACTTCTGCTCCCTGAAGGAGAGGAACGGGGTACAACACAAGATTGCCCCGCTATGCCCCGCCCCAACTTGGCTTGGTGAAGACTGCTATCGAACTGAGGGATCATTGTGATGATGGGCTATATGTGCAGATGAGCCTGTGTGCATGTCATCACAGTCATCACAGGTCATCTGCCTTAAAGCTGCTAATAGAGATTTCTTCAGCCAGGACATGCAGAGGTGTGATATCCCATCTTATTTGTGTTGTACCTCATTCCTTTCCTTCGGGGAACAGAAGTTATAGGCATAACTGTTTGGGGTTTTTTCAAGCACTGGGACACTTGGACACCGGGAAACTGAAGGTGGCACACCGGTGCAGTGTTGCACTGTTGCCTCACCTTGAACAGATCCTACATTTGCTGTAATGTTTGCATATTTTCCCTGTACCTACATAGATAATGTCTGACTTGATAACATAGAGATCCAAAGACAAGCCTGTTAGGTTACCTGGTGGTTCTCAGTTGGATGTGAGGGCCCATGTTTTTTCTCTTCGTTAGCCTTGTGATGGATCAGTAACCAGTCCAGGGTGTACCCCACCTCTTAACCACAACAGCTGGGGTAGACTTCTTGTTGGGAAGTTTTTTACCACTATAGCCCAAAGAGTGAAAAAAAAATCCAAACGTTTCTTGGATTCTGCAAATTTAAGCTCAAAACCTTCAAATTAATGCTTTTCTCTGTAACGCTGATGGCAGGTCACCAGGCGGCTGACAGAGGGGGACTACAGTCTCCAGGGAAACAGCATGCTGGAGGACCGACCCACCTCCAACCTGGAGAAACTTCACTTCATCATCGGCAACGGCATCTTGCGGCCCACCCTCAGGTGACCCATGAGTGTCATCGGCACTAAATAGAGGCTGCTCCTAGAAGCAGCAGTGAGGGATGAAGATGTTGCTTGCAGCAGCATGACGATGCTTTATCGATGTTTTTGGACCAAGCAAATGACGCACTGATGTTTTTGCTCTCTGGAGTTGATGAAAAACTTCAAGATTTATTCTGATTGTAGATTTTGTCTTGAAGATGACACTGAATTGAAATGAATAGGTTTGTTGAAATCAGATGGCTTTTTCGGCTAAATTCAAGTGTGGAGAGCGTTACTCCTGTGAGTGTGGAGCTTGAATAGTTAGTGTGGAGAGAGGTTTACTTTCATACCATGATTATTAAAAGTATGTCTTATTAAGTTAAAGCTATTGAGATGATTCTGGCTTGTGCATTTACTACAACCGTTCAGAACAGTCAAAATTAAAGGTCTCATAATCTGCAGACATATACTCCTCCTGTCTGCTTCACAGAGAGTCACTTTCCACTGTATGGTTTTGTAAACTATTAGAGACTCTAATTCACATCTTAGAGAAAGCCCACATACGAGATGCTGCAACACAGTTTAAGAAACTTAAAGGAAAAGAAAAATAAATTTCTCACAAAGACGGAACACAAATAAGGCAAAAACAGAAAATCTCCTGTAACTCAGCAATTAATAACTAATGCTATAAACGGTAATATTTAAACAAAATGGGATGATTAGTTAAAAAGGGAAGATAATTTGGAAACCAAAGTAAAATTAATTAAAATTATTAACAGAAAGAATTTTTAATATTGGAGAAACAGAGAAATGATTCAGATTCAGCACAAAACCTGGTCACTCTCCATTTTTTGTTGGGTCTTAGAAACTGCCAGAGGAGTCCTGCCTCAGCATCTGTTGAGCTCGGGTTCACTGGGCTTTAGCAATTTAAAGACACAGTGTTAAATAGAAACCATTTTATGCAGTTGGCATAGCAGACCTGGAGTATGTTCTGTATGGAATATTTGGCGATAGATCACCTCGCTGCAGGAACACAGTCCCTACATCCAGATGCTGCGCAATCCTCTTTGGAAAGTTTTTTTAAATGGGGTCTAATTTGATTTAGCTGTGGTGACTGTCTCGTGTATTGAAGAAGGCCTCTGATCTGTTTGTTGAATGTTGTCCTCTGCCTCAGAGACGAGATCTATTGTCAGATCTGCAAGCAGCTCAGCCAGAACCCGTCCAAAAGCAGCCACGCCCGCGGATGGATCCTGCTGTCCCTCTGCGTGGGCTGCTTCGCCCCCTCCGAGAAGTTCGTCAAAGTAAGAAACGTATTTCTGATGGGAAACTTGATGATAAAACCTCACGGTTAACTGGTGAAAATTGCAACTCATTTAAAAACTGAAATGGGAAAAAAATAACCACAATTGTAACTGCAGTGTCACCATTTTTGCACTTTTACACGCTCAGTTTTTCACTTGTATCTTCACGTTACTGATATTTGCCCACCACTGCCTGTTTAAAGTGTTTTGTGGTACTCACTGTTTCGGCCCTATGCCGCCTGCAGTACCATTATTTTCATCCATGTAATTGAACTGCACATGAAAGGTCAGGAACAAAAAGAAAATTCATTTAATAATAATATATTACAGATGATTTAAATTTGACCATAAAATAAAGAAATAATGGTAAACTGCAATAAATAAGCATGTCAACAGAAATTTACAAAAAAAAAACACGACCGGGTTTCAAATGTGGCTGATGTTTCTAATCAGCCACCTAACAATGTTTCTTCCTTTTTACTAATGTTGGTCAGCCAGCTAATCCAAAGCAGACATGTGTAAAAGATAAAGTCATATACATTACGAACAAAGATATAATCTTTTGTTTTCCGGCAGTGGATTTCAGTCCAGGAGAGCAGATGGGACAGATCTATAACTCGATCCACTCGCATTCAGTCAGTAAACAGTAGTCTGTCCGTCTCCACCATCACCATCAGCAGGTCTGATGGCTGAAAATCAGTTTAAGTCCTCAAAGAAGTAAAAGCTTAAAATAAAGTAGTCAAAGGGAGAATCTCAAAGATTTCATCTGCAGTTTGATCATTGCAAGAATTCATTTTTAAAAAAAACATAGCAAAGGTTTTCTGGTCTGACTCAAAACAAAATATTACATCTGAAAATCACGTTTAGCTTTAGAAACTTTTAATTAACTTTTTTTCCTGACTGATTTGAGTAAAATTGAGTTATGAGTTTGATTTCATTTATGTAAACAGAATAAATATAATGCTGTGTGTCAGTGCCTTTGGTATGTCACACCTTTAACCTTTAAACTGCTCAGGGCTGTAAACGGCCTTTATGTCAGTAATACGATGAATATTTCTCTTCTCTCTGCTCTTTTATCAGTATCTACGGACATTTTTGAAAAACGGTCCTCCGGGTTATGCTCCCTACTGCGAGGAGAGGTTGAGGAGGACGTTTGTCAACCGCACTCGGATGCAGCCGCCGTCTTGGTTGGAACTGCAGGTGCCAAAAATCTTTCTGTTCTGTGTCGTCAAGTCCAGTGAATCCAGTTTGTCAAGTGTCTCATCTTTTAACTGGAAGCATTTGCAACAGTAAATTGATGGGATTATCAGCGTTTGTTGTTCTGTTTGTGGTTTTTAGGAATTTGCAAAGCATGTAGCTAATGCTGTCACTGTTATCACTGAGTAACAGTTACAAAGCTCACTGTGTGCTGAGGGAGTGTCCAGTTTAGCTAAAATCTGTATTAAATAATAACTGTTTGTTGAAATACATCTATAACTATATAACTGTAATAAATATCAGCATTAAATATTAGAAACTAGAATTAGCTGAAAATAACTGAGAGTTTATTATAATAAATATTTTCATATCATTCCACTGGTTTTCATACTTTGGTTTGAAAACGGAGATGATTTTAAGATAGTTTTTATACTGTTTTTCAGGTGTTTAAAATGTTACATTACATACATGAAGAAACATCTAGAAAGCCTGACGATGTTTTACATCAAATTACCGTAAACTGTAAAACTTTACAAAAAACAGCTAAATGTAGCTAGTTTATTAAAATTCAGTGTTCTTTACTATATTTATTCTCTCTTAAATTCTCATTAAAACATCAACTCGTGTGATCCGGAAGAAGCCATTGGTCCTTCTTTAATTTTAAATTTATTTATCAAAGTTTGGATCAAGAGGACTGTAGCAGCAACCTTCTGACCTTCTTTGTCAGTTTCTGACTCGTGTTTCTCAGGAGGCAGCTCGCTCTTTCTCCTCTTCAGTAACCACAATGAGGCAGACATCAAAAATAAAGGATAAAAGTTTATTTATTCCACACAAAACCAATAATTACAAAACAAAATAACCACAATCAAACATCACAAATTAAAGACCTCAACAAAAAATTTAAATCTGTAATGACTGATCAAAAACTGAAATTAAATTTGAATTTTTATACTTTGTTATACTTTTTCATCTCTTCTTTTTGTGGTTTTCTACAGGTTAATTATCTTTAATATCAATAATGGGTTTTTTTTTTACAGGTGGTTGGATGGTAGAGGTTGTAATATTTATATTTTGAAGTGAGCCTATAACACCACAATGCTGCACAGCTGTAGGACATCTTAACTGTTGCCTGTCTGAACATGAGTCTCATTGTTTTTCCCTCCAGGCCACAAAGTCTAAGAAGCCCATCATGCTCCCCGTGACATTCATGGACGGCACCACAAAGACACTCCTCGCAGACTCGGCCACCACAGCCAGCGAGCTGTGCAACGCACTGGCGGACAAAATCAACCTGAAAGATCGCTTTGGCTTCTCGCTGTACATAGCTCTGTTTGACAAGGTAAAACACAGGCTCTACTGACAGCGAGGTTGTAACAGTTAACTATAACTAAGACGTTTGTCAGAAAACGTGCTTTGGTGCTCATCTGGGACGTCTGCACGACATTAGTGTGTATTATGAATTTCCTAAATCTAACACGGAAGACAAACTTAAGTGAAATGATCAAACTAATACTTGGAACCAACTGAAACTAAATTTAAATAAACAATATTTTTTAAAATGAAAACATTTAGTCAGTTTGTTCAGATGTCATGGAGTTATTTAACTGCAAGTATGTGTTCATCAGGTGTCGTCTTTGGGCAGCGGTAACGATCACGTCATGGACGCCATCTCGCAGTGTGAGCAGTACGCAAAGGAGCAGGGCGCCCAGGAGAGGAATGCTCCCTGGAGGCTGTTCTTCAGGAAGGAGATCTTCAGCCCCTGGCACAACCCTGCCGAGGACTACGTTGCCACAAACCTCATTTATCAACAGATCGTCCGGGGGGTGAAATTCGGAGAGTACCGCTGTGAGAGGGTGAGCCTCTGAGCTGTGTGCAACTCTGCATGCTTTGTGTGAAAGAGGGTGAGATACTGAACGTTGAGTTCGCCCCATATGGATCCACTGGAGTATGACTGTGTGAATATTACATTAAACCCACTTGAATGGGAGAATGAGTCTTGTAGTAAGAAAGGTTTCTGAGCATTTAAATAGAGTAGAAAAGCACTTTATAAACACCATTATGTAATGTACGGTTGTAACGACAGTAGTATCACCCCCTGGTTTCTGGAATTTGCACTTTAAAGCCTCAAGGTTTGCATTTTGTTATAACAATATAAGACAAGGCCTTGAGTGTATCAGCGAGACAAGACTGAGATGGTCTGGACATGTACAGAGGAGGGATAGTGGATATTGGACAAAGGATGGAGCTGCCAGACTGAAGACAAAGAGGATGGGGGACATGCAGAGGGCTGCCGTGACAGAAGAGCTTGAGCTAGTTTTGCAGCTTTTTGATCTACTCATCCTTCTTTGTTCTTCCAGTTTTATTATCCGATCGTAGGGTCGTCATCCAGTGCCGGATAGGGCACCAGTCTTCTGCAGGGCCAATGCAGAGTAACAGACAACTACTTCGTATTTACAAAATATACAGAATGGAGGGGTAGCTCTAGACTTTTGCACAGTACTGTATATTGATCAGCCCATCTGGTTCTCTACTTGAAAGAAGAGTTGATGGCAGGTTTCAGGTGTTGGGCTTGCTTTCTCCTGACCATTGCTTCACCCTGTGTCTGTCTTGAAGGAGGAGGACTTGGCAGAACTGGCCTCTCAGCAGTACTACGTGGATTACGGCTCCGAGGTCCTCCAGGATCGTCTGCTCAGCCTCATTCCGTCCTACATCCCCGACAGAGAAATCACCTCCACTAAGACTGCAGAGAAGTGGGTTCAGCTCATCATCAGCGCCCATAAAAAGGTACCTTCTGGTCAAGTGTTGAAAACCAGTCTTAATTTTGTGCTGTTTTCTGGGAGAATCTAACTAGAGCTCACTGTGCAGGGAGTACAAATGAAAAGGAGGGTAAACACGCAGAAGGTGAAGGAGGATGTGGTGGATTTTGCTCGTTTAAAGTGGCCTTTACTCTTCTCACGCTTCTACGAGGCCTTCAAATTCTCTGGTTGGTAAAACACTGTACCTCTTTCTAAACTACTAAATGCTTTGTTCCCATCAGTGGTTGTGGATATTTTTTAATGGATGTGACCACATCTGCTCACAGGGCCTAGCCTGCCCAAGAATGACGTTATCGTAGCGGTGAACTGGACCGGCGTTTACTTTGTGGATGAACAGGAGCAGGTCCTTCTCGAGCTCTCTTTCCCAGAGATCATGGCTGTGTCCAGCAGCAGGTATGACAAACAGCCACAAATGCACCAAATGACAGGCAACCAAAATAAAATACAAAGTATATTTGAGTTGTACAAAGTTAATAAGTGAATTAATTGCTGCTGGTTTCTTGGCATTTATATTGACCTTAAAGGTTCTCTACAAACAAACAATCGATTTGTTTGTCTTAACATCAGGAAAATCTTGGTTATTAATGGCATCTTCCCACAACAACTTCTAAATCTGAAGCTGAAGAAATCTGATTATATAGAGTCTATAAGAAAACAGCCTAATGGCTGTCTTGTGTTGCTTTATGACCTCAGAAAAACCTTCCCTGATGAGTTCATGGTCTTAATCGTTGCTTTCACCTCTGGTTGAACAGAGCATGATGTGTATTTTGTAAACATCCCATTTAGATAAAATGGGAGAATAGGTCATAGTATGAATTGGAGTAGGTCTAGCTTGTGATTGACAAGTTGCTAGCCGTGTAAGCTATGTAAGCCTGAAGTATAAGAAGGGTTTCTGATTTGTCATATCTGGTTTAAAATGACATTCAAGCATCATCTAAATTAAATCTGTTTTATTTCATCCCAAAACAAGATGTGGAAAATTCAAGGTGTTCAATCAGTTCTGTCATGGGGACTCAAATCACTGAATACTAGCACATGCTAGCAGGCATGCTATATTTTAGCTAACATTAGCCAGAATAAACAGGGTTTGCTCCTCAACCTAGCTAGCTAAATTCAGTTTTGCTAATTCTCAAGCCACACTATTTTGGATGCAACCAAGATAATCAGAGATGGTATCATTCTTTAATACTTCTTTAATACGTTAAAAAAATATTTACATACATAACGTTTAATTTCAAACAAGACTTTCTTCACTTCTGTGCTGATACAAATGATTGTAAGCATTACTTAATAAATATATTTTTATCATTTTTAAGTTTTTAGGGATCTTCTGCTTGTCAGAATTGCATCTTGTCCATATTTTGAACTATCATGGTTAAAGCAAAGTTTAACTTTGCAGAGGGGGTAAACTCCAGGGACAGAGCTTCACTCTGGCCACCATCAAAGGAGACGAGTATACGTTCACCTCCAACAATGCAGAGGACATCCGCGACCTGGTGGTCTCCTTCCTCGAGGGTCTAAGGAAGAGGTCCAAATATGTGGTGGGCCTGCTAGACTGCCTGAACCCACGTGAGATTCACTGATGAATTAGAAATAAAAAGGTGTTTTAGGAGCAGAATGGTCAATCTGTTTGTCATCTCCCCGGCAGTAGGGGTAGATTCCAACTTCCTGAGTTTTGCTAAAGGAGATCTGATCATCTTGGACGAACATGACGGAGAGCATGTGATGAACTCTGGCTGGGCACACGGCGTCAATGACAGAACCAAACAGAGAGGGGACTTCCCTGCTGACTGTGTCTATGTGCTACCTACTATCACCCGACCACAGTATGATATAGTGGTGAGTGCAGTCAGAAAAATAATCTCTGTCTTCCAGATTCTGCTGGAATGTTGTTTTTTTTTTAATCCAGCAGGTTGTTTTTACAGGACAGAACTAGAAGTCTAACCAGTTCTTCCAGTGTAAGTGATTTCAGGATGTCCCTGTGCAACAGTGTGTAGATATACCTGGTTATTGTAGCTAAGGCATTTGAATTATCCATGTGTGCAGCAGCAAATTTCTGTCAGGCTTGAAGGTGTCAGGGGCTTCTTTAATGTTTGGTACTTTCTCAATCCATCCATCCATTCTCTTCCACATATCCAATTTAGGGCCCCGGGGGCGCTGGGGCCTCTCCCAGCTGTCTTAGGGCGAGAAGCAAGGTACACAGCCATGCTGCCACTCTGTCGCATGGCTAACACATAGAAACAGGTTGAACCTTGGTGGTTCCTGGATTGTTCCTGAACATCATGACCGGTTTTCTCTCATTTTTGAGGGTGACAGTTTGGGTCTTCTTCTAGAACTTGGCAACATGGTTACATATCCGAATAACTTGGACCTAGAGCAGGGCGATATGACCAAAAGCATTTATCACGATATGCATTAGAAAATTTGCGATAACGACATAACTGACGATATAATTGACACTAGACAAAATACTTTACAACTCCACAACTTTTATTAGTGCAAAAAAACCCAACAATGTATTTTCACTTAAACAAACAGCTGTTTTTTATGTGCATTAAAGTTATATAAAAATTTAACAGTGCAAATGCAAATTCCTTGCTGACAGTTTAACCAAAAGGCATTTCCAGTGGAAATTGGCCGACATATCCTCAGGATAACCATGTATAATATCCACAAAACTTAAAAAGAGGTTATATAGACAATACGGTAATATTATGTTGAAGCACAGTACGTATCACTCCACGAGGCTCTTGCCTACAGTAGCCGTAATGCTCCAACAATCCATCAAGCGGTGCGGCTTCGTAGCTTAGCAAAGTCGTACTAAAACATTTGACAGATTTACGAGCGCCATGTACGACATAAAATCGTTTTGAGGTCAGTAAACACAACCAGAATTCATACATAAGGCACACGGGATTATAAGGGGCACTGTCGACTTTCAGAAAAATCAAAGGATTTATTTTAAGTGTGCCGTATTTTCCAAACAACACGGTAATAACGACGGCCCGCTTGTATACTCTACCAAAAATAGTGCTTTGTTGTGAAGTTGCAGCATTTTTACAAACCAATTCTGGTTCATCCGTTTCATTCAACAATCTGCTTTCGCCCTTCTTATTCTCCGTTGCCGCCATGCTTTTTCCGGCATGTGCGTATGAAAACAAAGGCACTGCACATGCGCGTTTTACCCATATTCTATTGCGATATTTTATTTTCTTATCGTTGCCCAACATGATACCGGTATTACTGTGAACGGTATTATATAGCCCAGCCCTACTTGTACCTACATACAATTATGTGAACTGATGGTTTTGGAAACTGCAGTTGTTCAGGAATGGCTCCAAGAGGCCTTCCCAACTTGTGTAAACCTGAAATTCTCTTGAAGTTACTTGAAGTTTCCTATTGTAAGTATTGGCCAATGCAATGAGTGCTGTCAAACAAATCCTTTAAAATAAAAATGACCATGACGGTTAAACTGTGTAAATGCTGATCTGACCTGTCAACACTCCAGCTTTGCTATTTTTTTTTAAATTAATGTCAACCAAACTGCCAGTCATCTACTAATTAAAATTTACACACAAAAAATTCTCACTGCACATATATTTTCAACACGTGTGAAAACAACCTGATTAAAGCACCATGTGAGCAGCTGCTGTCTCTCCAATTGTTAGCTATTAGCTGTCCACCATTTTTTTTTAGCAGTTTTTCTCCCAATTAACAAAAAACACAAAAATAAATATATGCTAGTCTCTCTGTGCAGCCAGCTGTGTTTAATGGCTGTCTACAAAGTGTCAAACACTAAAATATTACAGAAATATTGAATTTGCACATTGTATTATCATCAAAAGCACATCACTAGTTTTCTGCTTGGTATACTGTAACAGAAAAAAGTGCTTTAACCACACACTAAAAGCAAAAAACTCATGGATTCTGAAAGGAAGGTTTTGACAGAGATGTGGTTGTTGAACTCCAGGTATTGGCTGCTCATTAAAAGGAAAATTAACTTCCCAAAAGAATTTTTTCTTCCTAGAAAATGCTCTGAAATATGTTGATGTACTTTGCTGAATTAACCAGTTGGAAGGGTCAAATGCGAAAAAAATCCAATCTTCCTCCTGTTTTACTGTCTCTCAGGCTCTCGTCACCATGACTCCTGATCAGAGGCGCGAGTCTATCGGTTTGTCCCAGATTAACCTTTCGGACCAAGAGGATAAATCTAAGGCCTACACTCTGGAGGAGTTTTCCTACGACTACTTCAGGTAACTAAGTCTAATGTGAGGCTGTTTTAAGTACAAATGATGTTAAAAAAAAATGTGTGAACGTTTCTTCGAACCACTGTTCTTCAGGCCTCCTCCAAAGAGTACTCTGAGCAGGGTGGTGATCTCGAAAGCTCGAGGGAAGGAGCGTCTGTGGAGCTGCACCCGCGAGCCTCTCAAACAGCCTCTATTGAAGAAAGTCCTGGCTCACGACGAGCTCTCCCAGGAGGCCTGCCTTGCCTTCATAGATATCCTTTAGGAGAGGGCGTGATTGATCATATGTTTGGCTTTCTCGTTTGCGTTTTTCCTCTGGTGCTTTTGTTACATCAGAGCAGGTAATTAACTTTCCCAAGGGACCATATGAGAAAGTGGAGGTGTTGTGAAGGGCTCAGTTCAGTTCTGATAAATATTAATTTTGTTTCTTTATAAACTGCTACTGGTAAGAATGGATGTTACAGGCATCCAAGCCTGCAGTTACGCCTGTCGACCAAACCCCCCATGAAAGTTACTCACTGTTGTTTGTGATTTTGATGGGAATCATAAGCTGGTCTTGACTGCTCCATCGCTAGCAAAGGTTTAGCTGTTTTTGTAGCGATTGAAACTGTAATATTTAATCTGCTCTATACAAAGAAAACATGCTTTTTAATGCTGGTAGGTTAGTAATTTTAACATGAGTTTATAGAGATGAACTCTGTTTTTTGGAGCCAGCCAAGTGGCCATCAGAGGAAGTTTGCTGCTTGGTTATTTCCAGTCAGCCATACTGCCTGACCTGTACCAGCCTGTCGTTATGTGAATGGTCCTTAACTGTGTTTGCACCTGTGATGAAGTATATGGGCGACTACCCGTCCAAACGAGTGCGTTCTGTCAACGAGCTCACCGATCAGATATTCGAAGGAGCCCTGAAGGCCGAGCCGCTCAAAGACGAAATCTTCTGCCAGATTCTCAAACAGCTAACAGACAATCACATTAAGTAAGTCCAAGAAAAAAACAGTCTTTTCTTCTATCTCTTCTTCTATAGTCAATATTTTAGCTCAGTGTTCACAGTTTAAGCTGTGAGTGTTCACTTTGATCACTCTCAAAGCATCTCTTACATCTGTAACATGCACCTTCCTGGTAACCCCAGCGGTTCTTTCACAGTCTCTGCAGCACCCTTAGAGTCTTTTTTGCCACTTGAAATTCATTAAATTCACACAAGCAAACAAAACTGTATTCATTGTCCACACAGAGACTGGTGTTTAACATTTTCGCCTGCTGTACCGTCACCAGAAACAAAATCCCTGCACACTTATAAATATGCCTGGTAGCAGCAAGAAAATAATGATATAAGCATGATGGAATATGAGCATGCATAGAAAATTTCTGACTTCTAGATGTTTCTCACTAAAGGACACTTTCTTTCCTGTGCCACAAAGCCAAAATCCTGACCCTCAGTTTGTGCACTGTTTACCTTGTCATGGTGTTTGTGTGCAGGTACAGTGAGGAGAAGGGCTGGGAGCTGCTGTGGCTCTGCACTGGTTTGTTTCCTCCCAGTAACATCCTGCTGCCTCACGTCCAGAAGTTTCTGCAAGCCAAGAAACACTATCCTCTGGCTCCAGACTGCATGCAGCGGCTGCAGAAAGCCTTACGGTAACACAAACGCACACAGTTGTTGTTAACGCCTGTTAAAACTTCTTCACTACTGCTTTTTACAGGTTTAAGTCTCACACCACTTTTTTTTTTAGCTCAGTTGAGAAGCACCTGCAAGCAGCCTCTAGTTTCCAGCTAGTTCATACAGCTCAGTTACAGAAACTATAGTGCATATTACCCCAGTGTGTGATTAAATGGTTGCTTTAAATTACAATTTTTACCCCTAGTAAATTTTTTTTATTATATTTTATTCATTATTCATCCTCACTGCCCTTTGTGCTAGAAACGGATCAAGGAAGTACCCTCCTCACCTGGTGGAGGTGGAGGCCATCCAGCACAAGACGACTCAAATCTTCCACAAAGTTTACTTCCCTGACGATTCAGACGAGGTCAGTTACGACTAACATTCAAAAAGTACATTGTTATGTGGTATTTTACAACTGTGCATTTTGTACACTAAGGGGAAAAAACTGTAATTTGAGACGTGCCACCTCTTTAAATAAACAGTGAACTTGCATCGTTCACATTTTTCTGCACATGTACTAAATATTCTGCTTATAGCTTGACTTTGGTTTATGTTTGTGTTCACAGGTGTTTGAGGTGGAGTCGAGCACGAAAGCCAAAGACTTCTGCCACAACATCTCCGGACGTCTGATGCTCAAATCCTCCGAGGGCTTCAGTCTCTTCGTCAAGATCACTGACAAGGTGACGCCTTCATCCGCAGCCCGATCGTACAAACGTATTCACTACAAGCTCAGCTCAGGGGCAGCAAATAGACAGATTAGACAAAAAAAGCCATAGTTTTCTGTTTCTATGCTGATGACTTTTCTTTTCCTGTTGTGCTGTTTGTAGTTGTTGCTCTCTCTGCTGTCATATTTCTGGTAGACCTTTGGTTCTCTACCAAGAATTTGTTGTTTCAGATTCATAAAAAGTAACATTTTTAGTCATTTTTCATTAATTTGGAGTCAGTTTGTTTTTATGTTGCATCCTATTTTCACTGGTTTGACCCTCTTCCTGTTTTGTGGTAATTGTGAGTCTTCTCTTGGTTGTTTTGGGTCTCGTTGCAGATGTTTGATTTGTGTGTTATTTTGTATTTGTTAATCATTCTTTTTGTGTGTTTGTAGTCATGTTATTTACTTATTCAGTGGTTCTGGATTTTTAAGTTCTTCTACCACCTCTCTGTAATCAGTTAATTGATTTCTTGTTAGTCCGTGACTTCCTGGTTCCTTTTGTGTTTATATTTTGTTTTTTGTTTGCATGATAAGTTTTCATCTTCAGTGGTGTGGATTTGTTTCTGGAAATCATTCTGAGGTGGTTTTCAGTCTGAGGTCATTTTGCTTTTCTCTCGCTGGTTTTGCAGCTCTCAGTACTCGTTTGTTCTTTGGGTGGGGGGTATTCATAGGTTGTCCTTTACTGCTCAGTTTGCTTGTAATTATTTTTATTTAACTTATTTTTTTTTGCTTTACTTTCATCTGTACAGACTTTGCCTGTACGTGTGATAAGTTTACATGTAGTCGTAACTTTTTACTTTGAATAATAGCTTTATTTTTGAGGAAAAAGGGATCATGCCTACCATTGAAGCCATTCAACATGGATCTTCTTTACACAATTAAATCCTTCACTTACTTCCAGGTCATCAGCGTGCCTGACGGCGACTTCTTCTTTGACTTTGTGAGGCACCTGACTGACTGGATCAAGAAAGCCAGACATGTAAAAGATGGTAAAGCCCATCAGATCAGATTCAGATTGAAGCTCAGATTATCTTTGATCTTCTCGCTGATTCTTCTTTCTTTACCAGTTTGTCTTTTCACCTTTGTGCTGTGTGCAGGTGTAGTGCCTTCTCTGACCTACCAGGTGTTCTTCATGAAGAAGCTGTGGACTAATACACTTCCTGGAAAGGACTCCATGGCTGATTCCATCTTCCACTACTACCAGGTTAGTCCCTCTGCAGTATCAGTATATCTGGTTACTCTTACTTGATTAAATGTTGAGATAAAACATTTTAAACTTGCCTGATGTAGAATGGATGGTGTAGACTAAACTCTGAATCATGCTCTCTGTCTCTATCTTCCCTCCAGCTGTGCAAAGCTTCAAAAAAGAAAATCTGTGTGTGGTATCGGTTTCTTACCAGCTGTTGTCTTTTTCTGCAGGAGCTGCCGAAGTATCTGCGTGGCTACCACAAGTGCTCAAAGGAGGAGGTGCACCAGCTGGCAGCGCTGATCTACAGGGTGAAGTTTGAGGAGGATAAATCCCACTTCCACAATATTTCCAAGATCCTGAAGGAGCTCGTCCCCCAGGACCAGATCAGACATTTGTCGCCCGACGACTGGAAGCGGGTGAGCACGCGCAGATTTAAAAATGGTAAAAAACTGAATGTCTGGATGCAGGAATGGCCTCAGGCTAATGATGACTATGTTCAAAAATAATTTCCTCTTCAGTTTGTTGCCACAGATGCAGAATTCAAAACATCAGATTTGGATTTAATCCTCGGGTGTTCATTCATTCATAACCTTTCCTCGGTGATCACAGTTCTTTCTCTAGTTACATATTTAAGATGTTTTCATGCTTTCGTTCAAAAATCCAGAAATAAGGTCTGGCGATTGGTGCTTTTTGGCTCCTATGCTAGGCAGTTAAAGTTTTAACCAACAAGTAAAAAACACTAAAGTTACATTGAACTTGTCGTGGAAATCTAGTGAGACAAAAACTTTTAATCGCACATTAAAACTTCTAGGTGACTCAGATGTTTTATGCAGGAGCTTTTATTGCAAAAGAGCCGACCTCGTGTGTTTTTATAGGATCCTTTGAAGCACCGGATTCAGAAAAATGTTATTTTTAGAGGCCTGAAAAAGGAGTCTCGGCCTGAGCCATGCTGCTAAATACACGTTCCTTAATCAGTCGTAGGTACTTAAGTTTCAAATGAGTTAAAATGATCTATCAAACTGAAACAAACTAAAAGTTGTGTGCTGATTGTACTGATTAAAAAGAACTCGAGACAATCACCAGGCGATATGCAGAGATTTAAATCTGTAGCAGCACGTCAGCTTGTCTCTCTGACGTCATCCCAAACCCCAAAAAGAGGCTTTATTGTTTTCAGAGCTCTCTGGGAGTTCGAAAACATTAAAATCCAAAACATATCCCACAGCTGCTTGCTACTTTTACAGGTAATCACTTACAAGTCTGTGTGCAAAAAGAGTGAATGAGTGTTTCATCTTCCTGTTGTTTTGTGTCTCAGTCGATCGTGTCACTGTTCAACAAGCACTCAGGGAAGACTCGGGAAGAAGCCAAACTCTCCTTCCTCAAAATCATTTACAAGTGGCCCACGTTTGGTTCGGCCTTCTTCGAAGTCAAGGTAAAGACGCTAGAGACTCGTTAGTTTATGAAAGCTTGGAACTTCTGCATTCACTGTTTCCTGCTCTATTTTATCTACTTTCACTTTTAAAAAAGCTGCACAACACTGGGACAAACTTTGCATTTTTGGTTTTTCTGTTTTGCTTTTTCTGCAGCAAACAACTGATCCTAATTACCCAGAAACCCTCCTGATAGCAATCAACAAACATGGAGTCAGTCTGATTGATCCCAAGTCTAAGGTGGAACACGTTTATCTTTGATATTTAAATCGATCTGTATTGATAGAGCGCTTTGCTACTCTGTTCCCTCCCCTCACTCCCAACTGGTCACAGCAGATAGATGCACCTCCCTGAGCCTGTTTTCCTCCAGAGGTTTCTTCCTGTTAAAACAGAGGTTTTCCTTCCCACTGTTACCAAGTCCTTGCTCATAGGGGCTTTTCTGATTGTTGGTGCCTTTTTCTATTACTGTAGTTTCTCTCTGTATTATTGTATTGTATTTACCTTACAATATAAAGCACGTTGAGGCAGCTGTTCCTTTGAATTAAATATCTGAGCACTCAAAGCACTTTTTTTTCGCAATTAGTTTTTGATTTAAACCTGCAAATATTTGTTTGTATGTGAAGTTTAGCACTGCATTATTCTCTTATCCGGCTTATCAAAATTTCCTGTAGGACATCCTCATCACTCACCCTTTCACCAAGATCTCCAACTGGAGCAGCGGCAACACGTACTTTCACATCACCATTGGAAACCTGGTGCGAGGCAGCAAGCTGCTGTGTGAAACGTCCCTGGTGAGCTCTTAAGTTTTTGTAACATGAAACAAAGAGTGTGAGCATTTAGCTTTCCAGACAAAGCTGCTTTTAATGTGATTATGCACAGCCTGAGCAGTGAAAGCAGCGTGCCAGCAGATTTAATTGTCAGTCTTTTCTGTAGACTCTCTCGTTTATCACGTGTTCCACCAACAAGATTACGCTCTGCAGGAAGCAAAATCTTTGCGTTCACATTTGAATCAGTCATTTATTTCATGTGTAATCAAGTTTTTTTTGAGTGTGGTGTCTGAAACGATTTTGCATGGTTACCTGTGCTCTCTTTTTAACTTCAAACTTGATTACAGCTCAGAGAAAAGGGGTGAAGTAACAGTTCTAACGTCACAGGAAAACTTATGAGAAAATCAAATCAGTGATCTTGTGTGAATAATAATAGATCCTTATACAGTGAAAAGAGCCGCACATCCCACAAAGCAATCATTAATGTATTCTCATCCATCAGGGCTACAAAATGGACGACCTCCTGACCTCTTACATCAGCCAGATGCTGACGACGATGACCAAACAGCGAACGTCCCGGGGCAACAGCAAGTGAGCAGAAGGCTGGAAAGTCATTGATCCCATTTGATCGAAGCTGGACACAAACACCCACACGGCAGAATGTAAAAAACGCGCTAATGGCTGACTGTGACGCTCTAATGTTTTCACACTATAACATCGGTCCTGTCTTAAAACTCACCCGCTGCCTTTAAATGACTTTTTCCTGAAGCTGGACTTTGTGTAATTGCAGTGATTAGCAGTGACGTTTATTCTCTGTGCTGTAAAGTGTGACACGTTCAACTTTCAATGAAACCACTTTTCACATGTCTTGACTGAAGTGTGCAAAAAGATTTTTATACTATTAACATCTGCACTGAAACAGCTGGGCCTGTATTTATAAAGTGTCACTAAGTAGGAACTTGGTCCTACATAGGCTGAAAGTGATGAATGCAACTGTTCTTGTTTGACTGTGTTAGGGGAGCACAGTTAAATGTCTTGTTTGGCGTCATCGATGAACCGATCCTTAAAACACTACATTAAAAATCTGGAGCCAGTCATTTTTAGTGTTTCTGTTAGAAAAGAAATAGCAGTTAGATCATTTTCTGTCCTATTAATCTCCATCTTAACATGCCGGTTTCAAATCTGAAGAAGCATCCTGGTCACTTTTCCATAAAGTCTCAAAGAAATCTTGCTATGTTGGACCTGGTGATATTTACGCAGAGAGGTATGCACGAGATTTATGCGTGCACACTTCTTGTGTCAAATCAACAGTTTTTATTTTTCAGATCTTTGAATTGCTTCTACTTTATAGATCATATTCTTGATTATAATTCATTAAGAATATAAAATGGCATAAAAGTTCAACTAGAATCCTAAAGGCATGAACAAACTCCCATTTATACAATTTAGACTCATTCTTTAGAAACTGATCTAAGGAGCTTGGAAAGAAAAGCATCTGGACTTTAAGTTTCTCCAGATGCTTTTCTTTCCAAGCTCCTCAAACTACAATGACCTGGATGACTGAGAACCTTCACAGACATTTAAAAAATGATCCAATATAAGAAAATTTCCCAGTCTCACCGTCTGTTTTCCATTGAAAAATTCAAGGATCGTAATATACTTCCTAAATTCACTTCAGTTCATTTAGATAAACAACTCTCACCTCAAATCGCTTTATATTGTAAGGTACAGACCCTTCAATAATACTACAATAATGATATTTCTCACAGAAAAACTGCCAAATTTTACCTCTGCATCTCTAGTTTGGTCATGACAATATTTTTCTGATGACGTTAGGGGCGTTTCCAAACCTTTTCTGAGCAGAATTTTCTCTGGAGCTACTTTTTTTATCTGCATATTCAAAATTTGAAAAGGTGTTCCGCCTCAGAGCGTCTGTGTTGGCTCAAAAGAAAATGCCACTAACCTCATCACAAAAATATGTTTTTAGGCAGACTAATAACATTAGAAATCTGATATTTACACAACTCACAAGTTTGTAGACTTAATACTTGCCAGGTCTCTCTCGGAAATGAGATTTTTAATCTCAATGAGATTTTTTTTAGATAAATAAAGGACTAATAAATATCAATGATGACTCTACTTGAACCTTTGGAACCCCACCGGACTGACTGCAGGTCAAGTCAAAATGATGCTGCATTATTTTTGAATTAATGGATTAATTTGTGCCGTTATTACTACCCAAATCTTTATAATCCCAAGAGATTCTGTGATGCTTCATTCATCCCTGACTTTTAACTATGGCTATCTGAAGCAACATCTCCCCATAACATTAGTCGTCTGGTTCTTTTTGTTTATTTAACTTGTAGGTAGTGTTCTTATTTATGCTTACAGTTGTCCCAAGGTTATTAAATCAACGTTATGACATTTAAAAAAAAAAAATTGTACATTTCAGATGTGTTCCTTTTTTCTTCTTCTTTGATTTGATCGATTTGTTACACTTTGCCAATTTTCACAGTCAACCTCAACCACATCAGGAACAATCTCCAAACCTGTGAACACTATCTGGACTTGAACATAGCACTGATGTGGAGGAAATACGAGTAATGTTGCTTTTACTTCATCGTTAGCATCCCATGTGTGTGCCACAAAGTTCAAGCACTCTTTGTATCCAGTAGGGATTTTTTTTCAGTGTCTCCATGTGTACTGTAGCTGGTAAATGATTCGTATTTGTCTCTTCCTTTTTTAATATATGAATTTAGTATTAATTTGTAAATCATAACAGAGTTATGTTTGTTCTGGATGATGTTTATGAAGCAGAAATTATTTCATCCATATGACCACATATCTTATGTTGTAGAAATAATAAATAACATTTTCCAAAGAGTCCTGTGTGGTTGCAACATGAGATTTTAGATGCCAGAGAATTTTTCCTGCATGATCAAAGACATCCAAGTACCAGCTGTAAATTAACTTTCATTCTGATATTTACTTGCAGTGTTGGTCAAGTTACTTGAAAAAAGTAATCAGTAACTAATTACTGATTACTCCCCCAAAAAAGTAATCCCGTTACTTTACTGATTACTTATTTTCAAAAGTAATTAATTACTTAGTTACTTAGTTACTTTTTAAAAACACGATTTACAACCTGAAGAGGTGATAAAGTGATAGATCTTTCAGCCCAATTCTACTTTTTCTACATAATCCATCATACAAAATGTAATCAAATGGAAAAGTCTCTTTTTTTAACTTGTTTTATCAGTTTTAATCTTTTAACTTTATGCATCAAGCAAAACATTTAATTATATGCAACATTCTCTGACTTGAATAAATTAGTTTAACATTTAAACCTATTTTCTACACATTCCAGCACATAAAATAAAAATCTTTTTTGTGTTTTCACTCACTCTTTCAAACAGATGCAAGTAAAACACAGCAGAAAATAAATAAAGTCAAAGACTCAGCGGTCCTTTTGCTCTATTTTCACCTGTAAAGCAGGAGCAGGGTAGGCGGAGGGTTACCCTGGTGCAGGTGTGCTGCGGTCAGTTGAAGAATCCGCGCGAGTGTCTCTGTGAGTTTCCCATCACGTCGTAGCTACTCGGTGCTTGCTCGGAAGTTTAGGGGTTTTTTTCGCTGTAAAAAGAAGTTTTCTTCCCACGCACGATGGACGCTAATGTTTTTGTCACTTTTTATGGAATCAAACTCAAAGTAAGGTCAGTACTTCCACACTTTAAACGCTGCATGCTCATACTCTCTCCCGCACTCGATATATTATCCATTGTTGATCTGCACACAGCTGCTGTCACCAACGTCACTGTCATGAGACATTCTCGCAAAAAAAATCACGGTTTTAGTAACGCAGTAACGCAGCGTTCCTACGGGAAAGTAACGGTAATCTAATTACCGATTTTGCAATAGTAATCCCTTACTTTACTCGTTACTTGAAAAAAGTAATCAGATTACAGTAACGCGTTACAAGTAACGCGTTACTGCCCATCTCTGTTTACTTGTAAGCTATATCCTTACAATCATGTATAAATTGCAACATTTTAATTAAAAGTAATCTCTTACAAATACAAATAGGTATACTCAAAGATTGAGCTTTTTACAGAAAGCTATTTGAATGCAAAAATGATCTTATTTGTGATGTTTAATTTAAAAATGTGTGCATACATTATCAGTATTTATTCAGGTTCTAACATACACATTTTAAATAATCAAATGTGTTAAAATGGTTGTTTGTGAAATGTAACAGGCAATTATAAGCACTCAAAATCATACCATACACCTGTGACACTTCTGAAACAAAATTTTCTCCATAATATTTTAGCGCTTCTTAACAATGTATATTCTACTCTACGGAGCCCCCCAGGGGACATGGGAGAAAAAAAAATTACGGAGGAAAAAAAAAAAATTAGGGAGAAAAAAAAAAATTAAGACGGACTTTTGCGAGATCTCGCAATAAGTATTGCGAGATCTCGCAAAACTCCAACAATGGCGGCAGCTACTTAGTTGTAATATTACTCTTTCTGGGTCACAAAATACACTTTTAAGATATTTTGAGGCGTGAATGTAGTTGTGTAAACGTCAGATACCTGCTCGGTTTACAAGACATCACATATTTGCAAAAGAGCTCCGACGTTTTTGGAGATCTGACACCCACTAGCTCGAAGCTAACGGGCGGTCGAGACCTACTACAGCCGGGAGGAACACCGCTTTCCCGGCACATCGTGCCTCGACCTCCCGGTCGGCTTCGAGCTGGCGGCCACTAGCTCGAAGCTAACGGGCGGTCGAGACCTACTACAGCCGGGAGGAACACCGCTTTCCCGGCACATCGTGCCTCGACCTCCCGGTCGGCTTCGAGCTGGCGGCCACTAGCTCGAAGCTAACGGGAAGTCGAGACCTACTACAGCCGGGAGGAACACCGCTTTCCCGGCACATCGTGCCTCGACCTCCCGGTCGGCTTCGAGCTGGCGGCCTCCGAAGAATGCGGCTAAAACTTTTGCGAGATCTCGCAATACTTTTGCGAGCGCTCGCAATACTTATTGCGAGATCTCGCAATACTTTTGCGAGCGCTCGCAATACTTATTGCGAGATCTCGCAATACTTTTGCGAGCGCTCGCAATACTTATTGCGAGATCTCGCAAAAGTCAGTCTTAATTTTTTTTTTTTCCTCCCTAATTTTTTTTTTCTCCCATGTCCCCTGGGGGGCTCCGTACTACTCAGTTAATGCTCATTACCTGTAAATTAGTTAAGTCCAAGTTTTTATAATGTGGTCCTATTTGGCTCATTTTCAGCTCCACAGTTTAGTTGTTGTTGTAGTTACTCTGTTAAAACATCTCATATGCCGTTTTAGCTTCATCCCATTTAAGCCAACTGTCTTCTGACTGGCTTCCTAAGACAAACAGAAGGTTTGAACAGCAGGTGGGCTTACCTTTTGTGTCCTAGAATCTAGATAACCAAATTAGTATCGATGATTGTTTCTGCCACTGAAAAAAAGTTAGCATGTTGAGCTAACCGCTCTGGAGTCTGAGCTTTTGGCTTACATTACTAGCGCGCCTGATTATTTGACACTGTTTAATACAGCTCAATATAAAGAGTTTCTCATTAATTTAAATAGAGGAATATAAAATCAGGTTGACTAAAACGGCCCCTGTGGGAAAGGTTTAACAAGTGCCATCTAATAAGACACTGGATTTTTGTTAGCTTTAGCCAGAGCCAGGCTAGCTGTTCCCTTGTGTTTCCAGTTATTGTGCTAAGCTAAACTAAGCTGCTAGCTGTTGCTAATCATTTTAAGTCTAACGTAAAATTATTTAAAACGCTAAACCAGATAAATAAAGAGTGAAGCATTGTTTCAGACACTTTAATTCATTAA